CACACACACACACACACACACACACACACACACACACACTGTTTTTTATTTCTTATTAGAGAAGAAAAGTGTGTCCTTCAATTCTCATACAAATCTAAAACATATAGCAGAGATTTTTTTTTTTCAAGACAAGGTTTCTCTGTATAACAAACAGCCTTGGCTGTCCTGGAACTTGCTATGTAGACCAGGGTAGCCTTGAACTCACAGAGATCCTCCTGCCTCTGACTCTCGAGTGCTGGGATTAAAGGCATGCACCACCATAACCCGGTTTAGCAGAGATTTTTTTTTTTAATCATTAATGAGGAAACTATTTTTTAAAAAATCAGTGAATAGAAGTGAAAGGGATTGAGTTTGGTGAAATGTGGCTGATTTAGATGCAAAACCAGAAAATACCTTGCAGAGAACCTGTAACCTTTGAGACCATTTTTTCCTACAGGAAACAAGTAACTTGATTCTCTCTGGAAAACAAAATCAAACCTTGCATGTCCCCATATAACTCTGCATCTCCACCCCACCTCAGCATCATAAAAAATGGAGGAAACCCTGCATGTCCCCACGTAACTGCAGTCTCTACCTCCCCTCAGCATCATAGAAAATGGAGCAAATCCTGCATGTCCCCACGTAACTGCATAGGCGGATTCCAGAGGCTTGCTGGCCAGCCAGTCTAGCTCAACAGCAAGCTCCAGGTTCAGTGAGAGAGGTCCTGCCTCAAAAATAAGGCGAAGAGTCGAAGACACTAGATGTCAAGTTCTGCCGCTAATTGATGACGCTGTCTTCAATGGCCTCTCACTGAGATCTATTTATAAACCTTACAGGTTTCCTCAGAAAATAGGTCTCCTCGCTGCTAGCTGTCACAAAATCTTTGTTCAGGTGGAATCCCTGCTTGTCTCTCTTTACCAGGTGTGAGCACCCTTCTGTTTTACACAGTGAGGGGGGGGGGACTCCCTCCCAGACACCGGATCAGTCACAGACCACCCCCGAACACCTGTTTCACAGAGATCCTTCATCAAGCAGGGAGGAAAGTTAAAGTGGCTGCTTTCTGACTGTGACCTTGCAGATCCATTCTTAAGAGAAAAGGGGAGGTCGGGGTTAGAATGGGCTGGGGTGCAGTGGGAAAGGAGGGAGGGGAGGAGGGAGAGGGGGAGAGGACACAGGAAAGGGGGAGGGACATCTGTCCCAGAGGACAAAGGACGGCCTCTGGATAGAGGAGACAGACATGGCACATGGGCAAATGGTGGTTTATAAAGGTAGAGGGAAAAAAATCCATGTTAGGATGAGGTGTTTAACTTAATTGGACATGTTAATTAGATGAGCCAAAGGGGGCTTCTGGTTGTTGGACTTTGGTAGTCAGTCTCAAGAGGAGGAAGTGACCAAATAAAGGAGTAGACTTTGGTTTTTAGCAAGGCAGAGGGAATGGGGAGAAGGGGAGGCCTGCCAGAGTCACGTGCTGCAGTGGGCTAGTGTCCCTTCATGCAGATAGGCAACGGGAAAGAAGAAAAACCCAGGTTGAGCTGAACTGAGCTGCTTTGGAAAGCTTGCCTCAAGAGAATGGGCAAGACGGCCACTTCCTGGTGGATCCTGCTGACCCTGGTCTTTCTTAATCGTTTCCTTCTGTGTTCTGTTTTTAACACAGGGTGTGGACCCCCGGCAGCCCCTGCAAGACCCAGTCGGGCGTCCCATCATGCATCAGTCTGGCATTAAACATGCCACAGGGGAGGCAGTCTTTTGTGATGATATGTCTGTCTTGGCAGGAGAACTCTTCCTGGCCGTGGTAACCAGCAGCAGGCCACACGCTAGAATCATGTAAGCGATGATGGTGGGATTGGGAGGTTTGGAATACCCAGCGGGTACCTAGGGATGAGGTTGCCTCTCGGCAATTAATCCACTCAACACACTGGAAACACAATGTGAGCATGTATCTTGAAAACACAAGATGAAGGGAAACCGTGGATGTGGGAGCGTAGAAGAGGAAGCCCCTACTATATGGACAACTTTTTTCATCTGAAGAACTTGCTGTTCTTATCTGAAAATTTAATGGGGCAAGAATGACTTTCCTGCCTGTGAGACCCCCAAAGCTGTGATCCTCTCTGTCTTTTATGACGGTCTACCTTCAGAGGAGCCCATTTCTCAAAGTGCCAGCCCCTGAGCACTGGCCTAGGGAAGCAGGCATGGACTCACCCTGGAAGGTGAGGCTAGTCTGTGCCCAGTGGAACGAGTGTCCTCTACCTCCAACATCATTTGGCCCGTGTTAAGACTCCACATTGTGGACTTGCCTAGTGATGCTCATGTGAATCCGGGGAGTTCCTCAGAATCTCCGTCTTCCCTTGGATGAGGTCCTCACCGCTGGGTGACACACACTATGGTTTTATCTCCTTCCCAGTTCCCTCGACGCCTCCGAGGCCTTGGCATCCCCTGGTGTGGTTGATGTGATAACAGCTCAAGATGTTCCTGGTGACAATGGCAGAGAAGAAGAAAGCCTGTATGCACAGGATGAGGTACTGGCAGGGGCTCTCCCCTGGTAGAGATCATTGCACCAGGGCTTTGTGTACGTGACCGCATACCCTCCCCAGTGACCTGAGACTACCTGTCTGCTAAGCCTTGCTCTGTAACTGACTTGGGGCAGTGAGAACCAGCTAAGCGGGCATACTTCTCCTTTTAAGACCAAGACATTGAGGCTTGGATACTTTGGTGACTTACCTGAGGCACATCAGTAGAGGCGCTGTTCATGCCAGCCTGTGCTCTGGGATACAAGTCACCCTCCCCGCCCCAATCTGGAGCACAGCCCTGCTTCCTCCCTGGCTGACAAGAGGAAGAAGCCATCTTTCATTCTCTCTCATGTATCCTCTGCTTCTCCTCAGGTGACTTGCGTGGGTCAGATCGTTTGTGCCGTGGCTGCTGATACTTACGCTCATGCCAAGCAAGCCACAAAAAAAGTGAAGATTGTCTATGAAGATGTGGAGCCCGTGATCGTGACAGTTCAGGTAACTTTAGCATCTGCTTGCTCTTGGGGCCACCTGGCAATGAGTTTTGGTAGGAAGCGTGAAAGGGTATTGTTAGAGGGAGATTCCTTAATTTATGGCATTTGTCACGCACTCTGGCGATAATACACACAGAAAAAAAAATTTCTGGAAGTTTCTTGCCTTCCTTTTTCCATCAGATACTTCTGGCTAGAAATGGGCCTCCAATCCCACTACAGACCCCTCCTGGGACCACCAGCCCTGAGGACACCTGAAACAAATCCTTCTGGTTTTCCCAATTTCCAAGTTTAACACTTGAATCTTAGAAAGTTCACCCCTTTGCCTCTTAGGTGGATTTGAAGATCTGTAAATTTGGAATTCATTTCTCTTAGCATCTGCCCTGGGTTCCATCTGCCCGGGCTCCATGTCATCTTTAAGTTTTCTGTTGCCCTACATGGGACTGGCCCCTTCCCCGGAGCGTGGAGAGGATCCTTTTGCTTTTCTTCACATTTTTCTAGATTCCAAGGTAAACTGCAGCAATTCCTTCTTGCATTTCGTGGCTGACCCACTAGAGAAGGAAGCAGCACCATTCACCAGGAGAGGGCCAGTGATGGGAATCGGCTGCATTGCTTGGCAGACCAGACAGCCTGCTGAGCGTTCTCTACTCTTTTACTACGGACTCATTAAGATTTGGCCACAGATCCCTACAGCGGGGTCACATACACTTGAAGTCAAGTGCTAAGAAAAATAAGAGATGAGCAGAGTTAACCTTACCACACTGGCTCATTGCATCAGAATAGACCAGGATCAGGAGGGTTAAGGACTGGTAAAGAGGTCAAAAGCAAAATCTAAGCGTTGAGGGAGGAAGGCTCAGGTGGACGCCTTAATAATATTTCTGAGTACGGCTCAACTTCTGACTTCCGTAAGAGAGAAGATTAATAAATTAGCTATGTAAGGTAGGTGTACAGAAGATAGGCAGCAACTGGAAACATCTGCCAGCCACAACACAGGAAACAAGCATATCCCTAGTTATATAAATATTTCCTAGAAATGAAAAAAGGAATAAAATAGGAAAACTGAACAAGTAGATCCAAGTAGGCAGACCACAAGAAGAAATTACAAATGGCCAATGTGTGATGCTGTGAATAAAAGAAGAAAATTAAGAGCTATAATGAGCTGTCGTTTTCCACAAAAATACCAAAGTGTGATAACACTGAGCGGGTGAGCTGTAGGAAAGGAAGCAGGTATTGTCTTATCTTCCTGAGATGAATAAGAAACACAACAATAATCTCTGTGAAGGAACATTAGCAACGTCTATGAAAAGTCTACGCAAATAAGTCCTTTGCCAGCAAGCCCAACATAGGATCTTATCCCCAGGCTTAGACTGCCCACCTGCAAGAGAAGGTCTTCAGAATCATTCCCTGCACCGTTGTTGGCAACAGTGAACACTGAACACAAGCCCAGGTCTCCTCTGTAGAATGGAACTAAAGCTTGGCAGAGCACTTGCCTAGCATGCAGGAGGCCCTGAGTTCAACCTCTTTGAACCAACACACACACACACACACACACACACACACACACACACACACACACTGGAATTATGTGGAATTGTGTGTACTTTTTTTATGAGCACATTCTGTATCCCATGGGTACAGAAAGATCTCTAAATCGTACTGATAAATGAAAGGCAAAAGTGTGAATAATCAGGGGGTGAAGAATACAGACTTATGTTTTTTTCGTATTTGCATATATCTGGAAGATATAAACAAAAAATACATAAAAATCTAACGGTAGTGCTTACCTTTGGGGGGTGCACCCACATATGTGCACCCACAGGAGGACTGCCTCTTCACCAATCTATGGGGGTGCTCTCTCACTTTGCAAATGCTGAAATATGTTGTTTAATTTCAAAAAAAAAGTTTTAAATATAGCTTTGAAGAAAAAAAGTGAACCATTCACAAAATAAAGAATCAAGAGAACAGCCAGCTGAGACTTTGAGAGGACCTTGGCTAAAGTAAGGGACTCGGTTATGTGTCTGATTCCAGCTACTGAAATTATTCTTTTTGTCACACTCATCAACATATCTGGCTATGACGGGAGGGTGGAGTGAACTCCAAAGCTAGTGTAAGTGTTTAGGCTAATCTAGCTGTAAGCCTCCATAATGGGTTTCTTCTGAAGATTAAAGAACACTCGTGTCCTGAATCCAGGGAAGATTGATGTGCGGTTGCATAATGGGCTGGAGTACACTGTGATCGTGTCTTCCAAAATGTGCCGGCTCAGAAGACAGGATCTAAGGTGTCCCCAGACTCACTGAGGGACTAGCCAGTCATGTGCTGGCTGGGGAATTTTGAAATTAATGCTTATCACTATACATGGGTTTCAGTGTGCAGGACCTGCAAATGACCAGACTGAGCAGCATGAATAACACCTTTTATTTGTTACCTTCCCAGGACGCACTGCAATATGAATCATTCATCGGACCTGAAAAAAAACTGGAAAGAGGAAATGTTCAGTCAGCATTTCAAAGTGTTGATCAAGTCCTCGAAGGTGAATTCTTTTGGGGAGGTGTTCAGGGAGGTGGTTGAGACAGGGTCTTACTCTATAGCTCTGGCTGGCCTCAAACTCACTATGTAGGAACCAGGCTGACCTCAAACTCACAGAGATCCGCCTGCCTCTGCCTCTTGAATGCTGGGATTAAAGGCGTGGTCTACCATACCCAGCCCTTTGAAGCTGAATCCTGAAGTACTTTCTTCTCAATTACAGGAGGTTTTAATACATTGATACTGCGGCTTCTATGAACGTTGAAGTGATGCTGTGGTGTATCCCAGCACTCCGGATAATGAGGCAGGAAGAACATGAGTTTGCAGGCAGCTTGGGCTGGGGCATAGTGAAAGCCGTCCCCAAAGCTAAGGGTGGGGGACATAGCTCAGTGGTAGTGCTTGCCCAGCACCTCCAAGGCTTAGATGAACTTAATGAATCTTAACTCTTCTCATGAAGTGAGCTATGAGGGGGAACACCCAGAATATCAGACTCAGAGAGAATTCTGGGAAAGATATGGGAGAGCTTGATTCATTGAGAAAAACAACAAACAAACAAAAACAACTCTACTACCTTTGCAGACAATGGAAAACATTTGGTATTTTTGAATAGGAAAGCGGCAGGGTCTCAGTTGCCATGTAGAGCACTTGGCAGAAAAACTCAGATTGAAATGGGATGAACCGGTCCATCATGGCCAGGTCAAAGGTCACCACAAAGTCGCCGTTGAGAGAACTGATGCTGTCTGGCAGGAGAATGTAAGTGAAGAGTTAGGCACTGACTAGATGTGACCAGCAAAGAACCTAAGACGACTCTGAAATTACAGACGGGTTGTCCAGGGGAAAAGTGATACTATTAGCAACATGGTTGACATCTTCGTGGACAGACAGATGAGGGATCCAAGTGGCATTGACCGTACCACCCACAAAAATGAGATGGAATTCATCAGCAGTTAAGAATTCAGAGGCTTGGAAAAGAGTGGAGCTGGAGACAAGTTTTGGGAGGATCCATAAAAATCAGTCTGGTCCTTAAAGGAGTAAAAAATACCTAAAAATCCATTTAAAATCCATATTTAACCTGTTTCCACAGGGATTTGACGTGACCTCCAGGTAATAAGACCAAACCCCGGGGTTCAAGTCGAAACTGATGCTGTGAAAAGAAAAATTTGAGACGAATTGAAGTTAAGAGTTTAATTGAGTGAAAATGAGTCTCAGATTAGGGGCTCGGAGGAGTTCAGAGCACTCTGCTCCCACGGGGTGGACAGAAAGATTCAGAGACAGGAAGAAAAGTGGGTGGAGAAACCGGTCAGTTGGTGGTTTCTGATTGGCTGAAGCTCCGGGGCTGGGATTAGCGGAGACTTAAAAAAAAAAAAACAAACAAACAAAAAAACAAAAACCACATTCATGAATTAGGCTGAAATTCATCATTGCAAGTATGGAGGCATTCTGGGGCCGAACATAACAGCACTGCAATAAAAGTTACAGTCACCAAACACTAGGAAAGGAGGGGCAGGAAGCAAAGGGGGCAGAGGATGAGAGGGGCCCAGTCTTCAGCGAGGATCCGCTGAACCCCTTACAGCTTCAAACCTGTTTCCCAGAGAAGTGAAGCTGGATGAACATGGTGATTCAGGGATGTTCACCAGGGACACTCAGCCCTGGAAGTCAATCGGGGCAGAAGAGTCAACACAGCCTAGAAATCCAGACCAGTTTAAGAGCTGTATTTGTGGATGGATCGTAAACACTCCACAGTTAGTAGATCTTCTAACTACTCCTTTACACACGTCCACCTTCTTGACTGCAGACCAGCCTTATTGTTTGTTTGTTTTTCGAGACAGGGTTTCTCTGTGTAGCTTTGGAGCCTGTCCTGGCATCTGCTTTGTAGACCAGGCTGGCCTCGAACTCACAGAGATCTGCCTGCCTCTGCCTGATGAGTGCTGAGATCAAAGGCTTGTGCCACCACTGCCCAGACAGCCTTATATTTTAAGAATCGTTTCTACATTTATTTGGGGGTGTGGTGGTGGGGTGCAAATCTTCAGCCTTGCCATCAAGTACCTTTATCCATTGGCCTATCTCACTGACCCTCAAAGTTTATTTTTTAATACCTATGACGATGAATCATAGGTTTCTGAAACTTTTGCTTCCTTAGGCAAAATTTGTAAATGGAAGGAGGAGGAGAGACAAATTTATCCTGCCCTCCTCCTCCTCTCCCTCATCGCAAATCTGTACTCTGTCTGTGTTTTTGTGTGGGTGGGGGTGCAGTTTGTAGTGTTGAGAATCTGACTCAGACCCTGACACTTGCCAGCCAGGTGAGCACTTTACCACTGTGGGTCCTAGCGAAGTCTCTTCCAGCTCAGTGGGTAACTGAGATGTGGTCTGTGGTTTTAATACGCCCAACAAGCAAATGAAAAGACATCAGGCTGAGTGAGTGTCACTGTTCCAGTACAAGTTTCTGTATGCTATGTAAAATCATTAACTGTCCTGGGCAGCCTCGTTGCAGAGATGAATTTACCCTTAGGTAAATCATCTTGTACTTGAAATCCCAGTTGTTGCTCAAGCCAACAGAAATTAATTTCTAGTTCTTAAGAACGCACTGACATGAGTAGGTAGGGAAATGGAGCCAAATGCATAGGAGATTTTAAATTGCATATAATTAGCCAATTATGCATAATGACAGCTGCTTATGGGAACGTTGTCAAATTGCAATGATTTTTTTTTTAAAAATCAAGACAGGAAACTAAATGCTATTCCCATGACCTAAAAGAAAATCATGACATTTAGCAAAACATGCCATACTCCACTTCAGATGTTTCTAAAGGATGTGTCTCTAAAGCTACGTGTGTTTGCTGTGTCTAAAAGGGGAAGTGCACTTTGGAGGCCAGGAACATTTTTACATGGAGACCCAGAGCGTACGTGTGGTACCCAAGGCAGAGGATAAAGCCATGGATATATATGTATCAAGCCAGGATGCAGCATTTGCTCAGGTAGGTTTCATTTTAACGTGCCATTCATCTGACTTCCAGCTATGAGATGAAGGTAGGAGATACCAGTTAGACCAAAGTTGAACATCAAGTCACAGAGGCAAAACCGAGCCCCGATTTTTAGCAGCTCCTTCTGTCCTCTACAAAAGTCTATCCACTTCTCAGATGCCGGCTGCCTCCCGTCTCACTGGGAAATAAACTGAGGCTACAGGGCGTGGCTGCTCCTAGTCTTCATCTTCCTGAAGCCCCTCCCACCTCCAGGGTGTGGTGGGGGGCCTCTCTCCTCTGCAGTCGGAAGCTTTACATCTGCACTTTTGGCCCCATAGAAACCCACATTTGCCTCTGCTGTGTTCTATGATGTCAATTTCTAATTATTCGCAACCTGTTCAGATCAGCACACAAAAACATGTTTGCCGTGTGTGTGTGGGGGTGGGGTGGGTGGACATGCATATGAGCAAGTATGTATGGAGGCCAGGGGTCCACCTCAGATGTTGTCCTCAGGTGCCACCCACCTTGTGTTTTGAGATGGTCTCACACTGACCTGGAGCTTCCCAAGTATTCAAGGCTAGCTGACCATCAGGCACCAAGGGTCCACCTGGCGCTTCTTCCTCAGCGCTGGGACTGTAACTGGTCACCAGGTCACCCAGCTTTTTTTACACATGGTTCTGGGGATTGAAATCTGGTCTGCGTGCTATTGCAGCAAGTGCTTTACCCATGGAACCATCTCGCCAGCCCAAATATGCCCCGTTCTTAAAAATAACCCTCCTGGCTGGGCTATGGTGTGATGAGTTCAAGGCCAAACTCAATCAGTGAGATTTTTGTCTCAAAAAAAATAAAGTAGGGAGCTGAAGAGACGGCTCAGCCTTCAGAATACATGCTGCTCTTCTCCAAGACTCAAGTTTGATTTCCCGGCACCCACACCAGGGAGCTCACAATCACTTGTAACTCCAGCTCCAGAGGATCCCACACCCCTAAGCTCTTCCAACATTTACACACACATACACACACACACACACACACTTAAAATAAAATAAAATTAAAAGTGTTAGTTATCATGCAGCACTGTTTACCCTGCAAGAAAAGTCACAAAGCACAACAAAACCCACTATAAGAGTTTATTAGGAGAAGGGATGGACAGAAAAGAATGTGCTTAGGCCTACTGAAAGACTGGTACAGGAAGACAGGGGAGAATACATGAGATCCACCTTTTATGGACTCTCCCCCCCACGCATGCGCATACGGACTTACATAGCTACACCATGCATGCACATAGATTTCACCATCACATTGTGCACAGTTATGTGACCACGCAGCGCACGGTTTCCGTAGGCTGTAAGGTCCCCGGAAATGACTAAGTGTCTTAACCAGCACATGCTTGGTCATGGGGGCGTGGCTAGAAAGCCTATCAAAAAGTGTCCCCTGATTCACCTGGTGGCTAATTTGCTTCCATCTCTCCCTCCCTTCTGAGACACGCTCTAAAAACAATGGCTTGCACTTCCCTCTTACACTTCAATCCACTCTTTCTGCCACGGCCACCAGCTGCCGCTGTTCCTCAAATCTAAGCCACGCCTTTCTCTTCTGTCCTGCACATCCTCATTGCCTTCCCCTGCACATCATTGGTTTATTCTCCATGCACCTTGCTATGGCTTCAAGTCCCTCCTTCTGCTAAATGACTATGATTTTTCAAAATAGAAGGTTACACAGTAAAATATAAGAAGGAAATGAAATGTGCTAAATATGTGTGTTTAGGCAAACACACACATAGCCATGTGTCTCTACAATATTCGCTTTTACATTCACAGCATAGTCATTCTTGGGAAGTTTAACTGCTACAAGCCACAGGAATATATCATAAGAACTTAGCTGGTTATGGCAAAGTCACTACCTGGAGGGATCAAGGATTTCCTCCAGAGGAAGCCAAATTCCAAGGAGCATTTGGTGTTATTTGGCTTGTTATATATCAGCTGTTTTCTGTTATGAAAATCATGTGTGCCTTCATTTTTTCCCAATTAATTTTTTTCCTTAGAAGGGCTAACAGTGTGGACTGATCACTCTTTGGACATACACGTTCAAGGTATTTAGAGAACAGCCTCAGGAAAGGCTTCCTTTCCCCCAGCCCATCCATTTATCCCCTTTCAGCAGGTATCTTCCTTAGCCACTTTCAAGGACTAGCAGAAATAACAGTCCAGACCACCACATGCTAGTCGCCTGATTTAAGGTAAATTCCACAAGGAGACACCACCTAGGTCAGATGGGTGTTAAGTAACAGCTTTGTACAATTTAGCTAGGACCCTCCTTTTGTTATAGCCTTACTAACTTGATTGACCGCTAACTCCTTACCTAACCACTTCTAGGAATATTTAGATAACCTTCTGCGCGGCCAGCCATGCATAGCCAGAACCCCAGTTCAAGCCTCCCTGTAATTGCCATCAACTTTCTCTTTTTCCAGATCTTACCTCTAGTTCCAGATCTCCCTTTAACTATCACCAGGGGCATCTAGCTGTACACAGGTTGCCTAGCGACCGAGCACACTTTCACTCACCCTGCAGAAAAACAGCAGATAGCTTGGGCAGATAAGGGTCAAAGGGATAAAAAGGCAGTTTTATTTTCAGAGAATTAAGATAGAACTTAGAGCTATGAGAAGACAGAGAGGAAGAGAGGAGTAAAGAACTTGAGGACGGAGAACTGAGAGGGATAAGGAGGATTTACCAGAAGGAACGTGCGGACGAGATGGAAGATGAGGAAGAGCCAGATGGGGAAGTACTAGCTGGGTAAGAATGGGATGAGAAGGACCTAGATGAGGAAGAATTAAGAAGAGAGAATTAAGATAGAACTTAAGAGGGAACAGTAGATAAAGGTAGAAAGAAATTGGACAAGAAAGGAGCTAGGCACAAGAACAGAACTGAAGCTGTGTAGATAGGATGTTATCCCAGAGAGATAAAAGCAAGTGGACTAAGAGCTTGGTGTGCTGAGATTCTATTCCCTGAAAATAGTCCTCGCCGTTAGTAGTTCTCTCTCCTGAGCCCCTGGGAAGTATAATATTAAGGCTGGTTCCTCTAATATTATACAAGATTCAATGTTGATGAACACTGAGTCGTAGCCAAGTTTCCACAAGTGACTCCATCATGGCTCAAGGCTGCCCTTATCTGCTCTCTCTCTGCCCCAGTTCTGCTGTCTTTCTGGGCCTCTAGCCTTTCTTAGACCTGCACAGCTCCCTAGATTGATTCAGGCCCTTCAGAAACAACATAGATTATCCTGAGTCCACAGACACTGTTTACCATCAGGTTTGCACAGCCCCGCCCCATCACTCACTACCCAGGATGCATCCCTCCCTTTCCAGCCACGCTCCTCCTTTCTTGTGTGAGCTCTTTGTAGCGTGCTGTGCTGGTGGTCATGCTTTTCTACCCATCGAGGCAGGAGCAATTATTCCCTGATTGATGTCTAAGTTAAAAGGAGGAGTCGCCATTCTTTAAAGTCCCCCTGCCGCCACCTCTCACCCAGCTTCCCTCTGGTCCATTTGCTTCCCTTCAGATCCATCCCCTGGGTCATAGCAGGCTCAGATTTACCTTCGTGTCACATGGTCCGCTGATCAGCTCTGCAGGCCTGACTTGGAACTGTGTGATATTTCCTTTTGCATAGTGCATGGCTATCTGTCTCTCCTGCCAGTTCGTTTGTAGAAGGTATTAATGCTCGGCCCTAAGAGACCCTGGGTAGGATTACAGAGACCGCCGTACAGCGGGGAGTGAGGAGCCCAGGGTGGCTATTTGTAATGCGATCTATCATCCGTTAATTTTGAAAAGCAACAGCAATGTATCCTTTTGGCAGGCATGTTGCAAGCATCCACAGCATTTTCTGCAGTCGGTACTCAAAATAGAAAAATATATCCTTACTGTAGGCAGTGAGAAAATGCTAAGGGAGTTCTTCGGTAAATGAACTTCTTGCTAATCACGTGGGTTCTGTTTCACCCTCTTGGGGGCCTGTGGCCAAATACTCACAGGAAATGGTGGCTTGCACCTTGGGCATCCCGAAGAATAGAATCAACTGCCATGTGAAGAGGGTCGGTGGAGCCTTCGGAGGGAAAGCAAGCAAGCCCGGGCTCCTGGCGGCCGTGGCGGCTGTGGCTGTGCACAAGTGAGTGGATCTGCCAGCCTCTGTGTCTCCTCGGTATCCCAGTTCTTACCTCTCTGGTCCCAACAATTTCAAGAGCTTTCTTGGAGACACTCTCAATTCATGCCAAGGGGGAGGGCAGGCCTATTCAGCCTCACTACGGGGGGGGGGGGAAGTCACTGCATTGGGGACAAGTTGACTCTCCTGTCTTCCAGCTTTCCAGCAGAGTCAGCAGCGTGGGGGTGGGCTCTGTCTCACACTCCTGCTGGGTTTTCAGCTCAACCACCAAGGAAACCAGAGTAAGTGATATAGACATTTTCATTGGTCTACAGTATGCACTGAGACATAGGCAAAAGCCCAGAGAGATGGAAGGTAGGATGGAGGGGATGTTATCCATGTGGGTGTTTCACTGCTCCTTACGGAAGAAGACACCTGGTAGCACATTAAAATTTTAGTGTGTTTAGAAGGACAAAAAACAGCTGACATCTGCGCTTCTTGGAAGAGCTATGTGGCTGGGGACTGCGGCAGGAGACTTGCTTTTCACTGAACCGTCTCTTGAATTTTTTAAACTATCCTATGTGCATGGATAACCTATTAAAAATAAATATTATAGTTACTACTGAGGCACATGGCTAACAAAGAGTTCTGATATAATGATGGAAGGGCCAGACCACAAATCCTGTATCTCTGAGGAAGACCTGATATGCTCTCAGATAACTTAGAATCTAGGGAGAGTACCCAGAGTTCCCAAGCCAACACACACACACACACACACACACACACACACACACACACACACACATATGTACACTCACACATTCTCTCTCTCACCACTATGTCCTACAAAAGGACACAATCACGAAGATACGAACCATATGCTCAATGTAGTAATCCTAACCATACTTAAGCAGACTCTGCTGCTAAGAGCTTCAGAAGTGGGGTATTCTTCAGTGAACTGTTGAAGGAAGAAGAGGCTGTGTTGATCTGATGGAGGCATGCCATCAGAGGTCTATGCCACTTTACTATTGTTGCTATTTTACCATTGTGTGTGCACGAGGTAAATACGGGCCAGGCACACTGCGGCACACATGTGTAGCACTGAGAGAACTGCCTCACAGACTCTGTTCCTTCCTTCCATCTTCATGTGGATTCAAGGATCAAACCCAGGTTGCCAAACTTGCATGCAAGCCCCTTTTCTCACTGAGCCATCTTGCCAGCCCATCCATGATGTCTCCTTAGAAGGTGGCATCTAATGCTCGCCTGGAGGGGTCCTGAGGCATGGACTGAAGTTGGAAATGTCCAGAGAAAACTCTGGAATTCTAAGTGCAATCATCTGGATATAACAAAATAAGGCTTAGCCATAGGAACACTCACGAAAACAGAATTAAAACCTAGAAACTTTGTAGGAGAAGAAATAAATGAACATGAATTGGTATTTGAATAAAGAATGCAAGGAATTAAAACATATAATTAGACTTGCATAGTATCTAGACCAGAGGTTCTCATCCTGTAGGTCACAACTCTTTCTTAGGGGTCACATATCAGATATCCTGCATATTAGATATTTACATGACGATTCATAACAGTACAAAATTACAGTTATGAAGTAGCAACAAAAATAATTTTATGGTATGGAAAGTAATTGTATATCACCACAGCATGAGGAACTGTTAAAGGGTCTCCTCATTAGGAAGGTTGAGAGCCACTGAACTGGACAGTGGCATCATATAAGTGGAGTGTGGCTACAACAGGAAATAATAAAAGATTCACCAAAGTCTCCATCTTCAGAGGGTTTTAAGCTTCCCAAATTACTCTGGGGGGGGGAATCTAATTCATGGCTGTTGACCTTTTCTAAAAATTTAGTCAGGTCCGCAGCAGCCACAGGCAGACTTGACGGTGAATAGAGGTCCTGGAAAGGAACTTCCATCGCCCACAGGCCCCTTCCCAGCCTCCCCATCCATCAGGAAGCAGCAGGAAACTCATGGCGTCCTCTCTCCTAGGAGAGGCTGCATCCTGGCTCTGTCCTTTCATAGACAGAACAAGAGCTGCTGCTGACATTCTGCAAACCTGAACTCAAATCTCCAATCTGTTAGAACTGTTTCTCTCACATCTGTTTCTCTCTAGGACTGGCTGCCCAATCCGTTTTATTCTAGAGCGTGGGGATGACATGTTGATAACCGGGGGACGTCACCCACTGCTAGGGAAGTACAAGGTGAGTGGGTAGCACAGTCACTGTACACATGCCGCTTCGGAGGCCTGTGGCTTGCAGCTCCAGATCTTCAGTGTGAGCGCTCTGTGAAGTGAGAGATCCCACAGAACCACCGCACCGAGGCTTTGAACGACCTTTTGTTTAAAGTCGGGGACTCTTTTCTTTTCCTTTTTTTTTTTTTTTTTTGGTTTTTTGAGACAGGGTTTCTCTATATAGTTTTGGTGCTTGTTCTAGATCTTGCTCTATAGCCCAGGCTGGCCTCGAACTCACAGAGATCTGCCTGGCTCTGCCTCCCGAGTGCTGGGATTAAAGGCGTGCGCCACCACCACCCGGCTGAAGTCGGGGATGCTTCCTGAAGGATTCCAGATCCTCTTACTAACAGAGCACCGGGCAAAGCAGGGTGTCTTGGGCCTGCTAATCGCTTAGGCAAACAACTCTAGATAAGAGGTTTTGATAGGCACGAATTGCTTGCCCAAGGTGAAAGTTGCATAACTATGAGAAGGCTCTGCTAGGCATCGGGCAATCAGTTCTCCAGAAGCTGGCTCACCCTGCTGCGTTCACTAAGCCCCAAATTCATCTTGGAATGACCCCTTTTCTTGGACAGAACCTAGCAAAACAGAACACCTTCTCACCCCAGCCTCGGCATTGCCGGTGTGACCCTTGAGTGGCTCCACATAAAAGGAGAGGAGATGCTAGGACAGAGGCTGGGGACAAGGACACAAGTGAGCAGGAACTGGCATTTTTGGCTCCCACCGTGCCTGGGACCTCTGGAATACAGATGTTTCAGGATCTGACACTTCTCTCAATTGGACTCATCCTGTACATTCATGAGTCTAGTTCAAAATACTTCCTCCTTGCTGGAAGAGAGTTTTCTAACAACCTCAACCTGGTCAGAAAATACCGCTAAGAAACAACAAAGCTGGCCTCCCCTGGCTCCAACTGTAGACCCCGGAGACTTCAGCCCATGGGAGACTTGTGAACTCGAGCAGAAAGCGTGAGTGGCCCCTCACGCCACCATGGGTCAGAAGCAGAACCTTGCTCAGGAGGACCTTCCCTGGGAGACTTCAGCAGCTGAACCCCCAAAACCCATAGTTCATTCTCCCCGACTGTTTCTATGGAGTGCTTCCTGTGTGCCAGGTGCCACCCTGTCCGTCCCTCCTGAGTACCTGGTGCATACTTCTAACCTTGGACATCTCCTTCTGAATCACATGGCCAGTGATGGGCCTGTCTCCATACCAGGCCACTGGCTTCTTGTGCAGGAGGCCGGTCCTATCTTTACATGTCTGTTTTCTTAGTATCAACCATATAAACAAAAATACGAAGTGTGTGATAGCTACAACACTCTGTAAAGGAATTGGAGGTCAGTCAGACAAGCAAGCCTGTTTTCCCTGGAGCAGCCATCCATTCAACAGATAAATACCCCGTTCCATAGGACCTACAGAGGAATCAGTTGATCCAGCCAAGATGGGGTGGGAGAGGACCCTGATAACTCAGTCCACTGGAATGTTCCTTTTTAGTTCCCAACCTTCTCCTTCTAGCCAAGTATATTGTAAACTATTGCCAAAATAGACAGAATTCCTATTACACTGCAATAAAAGCTGTTTGCTTTGTGTGGAAAAAAAAATAACGGCAGAAACTCGGTATGTGTGGACTGGAGACAAAAAGAGCTGAGATGTAAGGAGGACTGTTCTGAGGAGACAGGGAGCACTCCAAGGAGGGAAGGCTGTATGCATAGGGTGGGTACCTAAGGCAAATCGCAGTGTGTCTGTCCAGTCAGAATCCCTGCCCCTTCCAGCCTCTTGCAGCCTCCATGGACATTGAATTCCCCTCTCCCTCAGCTGCTGTGACCACCTCAGGCCCAGCAGGAACGCTGGCTGCCTCCCATCTTCAGCCTCACAAATGCCTGATTAGGTAACCCAGATCCAGCCTAGCTAGGATGCTGTTATTACTCAGATTACTGAAAAAAACTATGCAAGAAGTGAGAAGAACCACTCAATGTTCTGGGGGAAGACGCCTGCGGAAAGTGATGGGGACGGAGCAGAGTGCCCCCCCCCCACCTTAGGTTTCTGAGACAGTCTTACTCTGTGCTTCTGGACAGCTTGAACACTGGGGCTGCAAGTGTGAAGCCCCTGTGGGTCAGGTCCGCTGGGATCAGAGTATGGCTATGAGACCAGCCGCGGGAATGTCACCTGGGAATTAGCTAGAAACAGATTCTCAGGCCCAAGTCTACTCAGTCAAACACTCTGAGGTGGGACTCAAGCCTTCCAGATGGTGGTGACGGACTTGAAGTCTTGGAGTGGATGATGGCTTCTTCCCTGTTACCATGCCTTAGGGTACTGTGGTATCCCAAAGCAAATGGGTAGGCCAAAGCAAATAGCCGACGCTTGAGTTTGAACCTAGACCCGTCCACTCCCCAGCCCACACTCTTAGCAGTCACAGAACTTCCACTTGCTCTGTTCAAGTGCTCAGGAAATAGTATTTATACCACAAAACTCACAGGGGCAAATGTTGGACTCTTCACAGATTGGCTTCATGAACGATGGGACAATCAAGGCCGCAGACATCCAATTTTACATCAATGGCGGCTGCACACCAGATGATTCTGAGCTGGTAGGTAGCTTTGCGCCTTTCCTGGGACTCACTTGGTAGCCCAGGCTGGCCTCGAACTCACAGAGATCCACCTGCCTCTGCCTCCCGAGTGCTGGGATTAAAGGCGTGCGCCACCACCACCCAGCTAAGCCAGGTGTCTTTGAAGGTTAGTGTAGATGGTCTTTTGTGCCCACTGACCTGCACCTCCTTGGCCCTTACTGTAAATTGTAAGGATGACTCAGGATTGCGTTCAGATCTCCACCACCTGCTGATGAGTCAGGGAATGGTAAGATGCTCTGACTCTGAGGTACCCTGTCCAGGAGAGTGCCCAAGGCTCTCTTTCCACTCACTGTGCTCTAGGGCCTGGGTGTGACCCTTTGACGAATATCTTAAATTGATCTTCAGAACTTCCCCAGAAGAGAACTGAGTCTTCTAGTCCTCTCCTCCTTCCAGTACCCTCCTCTGGGCAGGGCTGAGGGGCTGTCAGGGGAGACCGTGCTAACACATGGAGAACAGGGCTGTGGGTTTGTCTCAGGCAAATCTCCTGTTTATGCCAAGGAAAACTTCCCTACACCACCCCGTCTCCTCCCTTCTGCTTAGAGTTGAGGCCCTACCTAGGCTCCCGTCCAAACCCAGCAGCTTCTGCAGTGTCTCAGGATCCAAAACTCACATGACATGTCTTCCCAGGCCTGTCACAACCTAATCCCTTAACCATAGATATGAGGACACCACTGGCCTAATTGGCCTTTTCCTCCTTTCTAGATCTTTCCATCAATTCTGAAGGCACGTCCAGCAGTTTTGTAAAGTAGGACCCCAGAAGTGTGTTGAAACTGGGGGGGTAGCATCTCTTCCTCCTCCTTTGGAGAGGAAAAATAATAAGTAAATAAAACCTCTTACTACTTAAGAATTAAAAACAAGCAATGAAATCGTAAAATGAAGTACATGGCCATAGGTGTTGATGGTCAGGGAATGAGGGTGAAATTCCTTTCTGGCTATACCAAGAATAGAGTCAAGAAACAGCCCTCAGAAAGGCTTGTCCTCATCCTCCGGGCAGGGAGTCTAATGTACTTAGACTTTTACCTTGGGACTCTTTTCAGGTGATAGAATACTCTTTGCTCAAACTGGAAAATGCTTATAAGATCCCCAACCTCAGGGTCCGAGGTCGAGTCTGCAAGACCAACTTGCCATCCAATACAGCCTTCCGGGGATTCGGCTTTCCCCAGGGGGCATTTGTAACAGAAACCTGGGTGTCAGCAGTGGCAGCCAAATGCAGCCTGCCACCAGAGAAGGTAAGAGGAACTGACAGTTGTTTCAAAGTCTTTAAATAGTTAAACACTCTGTTTTTCAATCCTCGGCACTGTAATGTTTCTTAATCGCTTCATTTGATGCTCTGCCACCTCTGGAATATTCTATGGCTCGTCTCTGTTAGGGCTCACTTTCTGAAGATGAAATTTGTGAAATTTGGCATTTCCATCCACCAGGTTCGTGAGTTAAACATGTACAAAACGGTTGATAGGACAATTCACAAGCAAGAATTTGACCCAGCGAATCTGATAAAGTGCTGGGAGACGTGTATGGAAAAGTCTTCCTACCACGACAGGAAAAGGGCTGTGGAGGAATTTAACCAGCAGAGCTTTTGGAAGAAGAGAGGAATCGCCATCATCCCCATGAAGTTCTCAGTTGGATTCCCAAGGACATTTTATAATCAGGTGACTTTCAGAAATGCTTAAAACCAAAAAAGTATTTTCCAAGTGCATGTAACAAAAGCTCTCTTGATACTAATTCTTAGAACAGCGGTTCTCAACCTTCCTAATGCTGCCGTCCTTTAATACAGTTGCTTGTGGTGTGGCGACCCCCCAACCATAAAACTATTTTCGTTGCTGCTTCATAACTGTAATTCTGCTACTGTTATGAATGGTAATGTAAATAGCTGATATGCAGACTATCTGATATGCGACCCCTCCACAGGGGTCGCGACCCACAGGTTGCCAAGCATTGTCTTAGAAGCTTATGGCACCTGTTTGGCAGGTTGTTTCTTTGGCTCTCATGGCTACAGTATTCATAGTTGAGCAACTACTGATAAGAGATCTGCAGTTCTGACTACTTCCTTAAACCCAATCCGTGACACACCTGTGGTGCTCTTAGGTAAGCTCAAAGCACTATGGCTGGAAGCCATCTGGAGCCTCGGTGCCTGCCCTGCTCTACCTCAGTGATGCTGAACTCTTGCCAAACTCACTGTCAGCAATGCTGGAGTCTGACTCCCCCGGAGGGTTCCTCATTCCAGGCTAGACCTAAGCCCTTCTCTTCCCATCTGACTCTTCTCCAGCCTAGCGCCGGGCATCCGTGACTAGATGGATGGATGCATAGCTCCATGGGTAGATGAACAGTATGCGGGTGGATACATTGTTACATCAATAAGAAAGTGAAAGGGTGTTCATGAGTATTCCGCCATTCTTTATAATCTTCTTGAAACTGAAGTCGCCTGAGTTTAAGAAAAGTGAGCTGGGGTTTTGTGGTCACCCCTACCTAGGCAGAGAGGACTGACTCACTGGATCGTATATGGAAAACCCAAGACTTCTAGCAGTAACCTGTTGTCCTTGTCTGTAGGTTTCTCATAAAGATACATTTCACCCTGGGGGTGTAGAACTAGGCAGAGGCTAACAATGAGTCTTTTCAAATCAATGCCATCCAGCAAAGGCAGAGACCCCAGAAGGCAGAGTCTGTGGAATTTCAGAACAATGTTTTACGAGAACTGAGATTTATAGGATTGCATGAGAAGAACGCTGAGAGCAGCTGAGGGTTCTGTACTTGATATTCATGGGCTCCTTGACGATGAGATGAGACTAGAGATACGCTCAGGCTCTGGGAGTCTTGCTCCCTTCCCATGGGTGGCCCCGGGGAGAGAGCAACCCTGCATTGTGGTGCCTGCAGCTAGGTCACGTGTTTACATCCACTCCTCTGCTGTCTTCGCATTCTGCCAATAAGTGTTTTGAAACAGAGCACCACTGAGCTGCTTCCCTGCACCCCAGTTCATAATGGAGAGCAGCCATTGACCTCAGGGAAGACAATGACTAGTTAGCTATTCAAATCCGTATTACTAGACACTACCCATGTTGTTAACATGCCCATGATTGCTCAGCTCTAATTGGCCCTGTCTCCCAGATAACTTTAGCTGCTCCTCTCAAAACTAAGAGGTTTACCTACCAGGATTCTACTTGCTCAAAATATTATTTGCTCCACAAATTATGCCCACTTTATGAAATCTGTATTTTAATGAGGGTTTCTAGGAATGGTACTTAAATCTCTACATTTCTCTGGTTTACTAACTCAAATTCCACAGGATAAGGAGACTTAAGTATCATTTACCCATAATGCACACTGGCTGCTTAGTATACCTCCTTACAAAAAAAAAGTTATAGTATATTTTGATAATTGACATTTTTCTCAATGAAAACTTTCTATTGATCTGTTTGTAACTATATAAAAAGTATGTGCTTACTACTATCATAAACAAATTTAAAAGTTACCAAAACTTTCAAAAGGAAAAAAAAATCACTTGGAAGCCCACCATATAGAGAAAACCACTATTAATTTTTGTTAGTATATTTTTCTATACTTCTGTGTGTGTCTTACTTAGTCAAGGTGTCTATTGCTGTGAAGAGACACCATGACCACAGCAACTCTTATAAAGAAAAACATTTAATTAGGGTGCCTTACAGTTTCAGAGGTTTAGTCCATTATTATGGTGGGGCATGGTCACATGCAGGCAGACATGGTGCTGGAGAAGGAGCTGAGAGTTCTACATCTTGATCCCAAGGCTGCAGAAGGAGACTATGTCCCATACTGGGTGTAGCTTAAGCATAGGAGACCTCTAAGCCCGCCCCCACAGTGACACACTTCCTCAAACAAGGCCACACCTACTCCAACAAGGTCACACCTCCTAATAGTGCCACTCCCTGTGAGCTTATTACATTCAAACTGCTACATACTACTCCCTGGCCCCCACAAGCCTGTAACAATCTCACAATGCAAAATGCATTTAGTCCAACTTCCAAAGTCCCCATAGTCTATCACAGTCTGAGCAATGTTTCCAAGTCCAAAGTTCCAAGTCTCTTCTGAGATTCACACCATATCTTAACTATAATCTCCTATAAAATCAAAATCAAAAACAGACCACATACTTCCAACGTATAATGGCATAGGATATATATTACTGTTCCAAAATATAGGGAAGGGAGCATAGTGAAGTAATAATGGACCAAAGTAAAACTGAAAACCAGCTGGGCAAACTCCACACTCTGTATCTCCAGGTCTGATGTCAAAATGCCCTTCAGATAGATCTCCAGCTCCTTTCAGCTTTGTTGAATGCCACACACTTCTTTCTCTTGAGCTGGTTCCACTTCCTGTTAGCAGCTCTCCTCAGCAGGTATCCCATGGCCCTGGCATCTCCAACATCTTGGGATCTCCAAGGCAATCAGGCTTCAACTTCATAGCTTCACACAATGACCTCTCTAGGCCACCATTCAAGGACACCCCTGACACATGCCTGGCCTCAACAGCTTTCCTTTTAGTCAGGGAGGCAGTTTCCATAGTTCCTTTCTTCTTATCTTGATTCTAAAACCAGAACCATGTGGCCAAAGCTGCCAAGTTCTGCTGCTTGCTGGGGCTGGAACATGGACCCCTTGTTCAGTTACATCTTTACCAGCTTCCGGTTTTTGATGGTTTCCTTCACTGCCTAAGTGTGGCTGTCCTGGAACTTGCTCTGTAGACGAGGCTGGCCTCAAACTCAGAAATCCACTGGCCTCTGACTCTGGGGTGCTAGGATTAAAGGTGTGTACCACCACACCTGACTTTCAGCTTTCCTTTAATCCCTTTCTCAAGTTGGAAGCTTATCTGGGTAGGACCTTGCCCTGAGGTCACCACTCCCTTTATTCCACTTCTTAATCTGTGTAATCTCCTTGAACACAGGACTTGGTGCCATTCCACTTCCTAGTGTTCCTTGTCTCCTCAAATTACACATTATGCATTTTTTTCTTTGCCCGGCTTGCTCCTTTTCATTATAAATCTTCATTAGTGTTAACATGAATAACCATATGGTGGAGTCAATACTAGGCTGTTTTGAGATTTCCTCTGTCAGTGGAATTAATCCAAATCTCTTCACTTTAGCCTCAGGCAGACTCTTTGGACAAAGGCAAAAAACAGCCACATTCTTTACCAAAATATCACAAGAGTAATCCCTAGGCCGCATATTAATATTCTTCTGTTTTAAAGCCTCCTGAGCCAGACCCACACAGTTCAAATAACCCTCAGCACCACTGTCTTCCATGCTCTTACTAATATGGCCCATTAAGCATTCCACTGCTTTCCTAATCCAGACTCCCAAATTGCTCCAAACAAAAGCATGGTCTGGCCTATCACACTAATACCCCGGTCCCTGGTACCAACTTCTCTAGTTAGGGTGTCTATTGCTATGAAGAAACACCATGACCACAGCAACAGTTATAAAGGAAAACATTTAATTGTAGTGGCTTACAGTTTGAGGTTTAGTCCATTACTATCATGGTGGGACATGGCAGCATGCAGGTAGATATAGTGCTGGATGGAGAAGGAGCTGAGATTTCTATATCTTTGATCTGCAGGCAGCAAAAGGAGTCTCTGTCCACACTGGGTGTAGCTTGAGCATAGGAGACCTGAAAGTGTCCACCCCCACAGTGACACACTTCCTCCAACAAGGCCACACCCCCTAATGGTGCCACTCCCGATGAGCTTATGGGGGCCAATGACATTCAAACTACCACAATGTGTATCTATGTAAATTGGATATAATAGTGATCACTTTACACATGGTGTGCTCAGTTGTAAACAGTTGAAAAGAGCTTTCCATTTTCAGGGAGGTGGGGGATGCTGTCTCCTCTTCATCTCCCCTTTATCTCCAGCCACAACATAACCAATGTTATTAGTTCTGAACACATGTTTCTACTTGGTTCTTCGTGTCCCTCTCCAGGTGCATACAATTGTAAGGAGACATTCACAGAGAGATGCAAGTGTGCTGTGATGTCACATCTTTGAGTGAGAATGTTCTTCTCACTTTCCGCCTTCTTCCTTACCTGGTGATGATCAACTTGAAACTAACAACATTAAGCTAGGTGGGGGTATTGGGAGCATTGGCAGTAAAAGCTTCTCTGCCTCCCCTGAATGGCCATATCCCCTCTGAAGCCACCTCAGTCACCTGTTAGTCACCTGCTCTGAGCCGATAAAGATAAAACCCCGAGTCTGGTCAACTCGGCACACCTTCTTCAGCACCTCCTGGGTGATTGATGACTTTATCCAGGCCAAGTGCTGCGGCCTGGAGATTTGCTGTTGGAAGGTCTGGGTGTGTGCCTGCGCTAGAACGTGGAATGGCAGTGTGGCCTTGGCAGCCTCGGGCTCTCATTATCGTCCTCATCTGTGAAATGGAAGTGGTATAATATCGGTCATGTCTGTCCTGAGGCAGCTGGCAGTCCTAGGGCAGAGAATATGGCAGGGCAAAACTGCTTCCTGCCCAAGGGCAGTAAGCCCATGGATGAGACACATGCCACATGCACACAGGTAGCACAGATTCACTCCGTCAATGCAACAGCACCCTCTCTCCTCTGGCTCATGAAAACTGGGTAAATCCCACCAAATAATAATGGCTAGGCCAACAGATGTGGAGCAGACCTGAAACACTGTCAGGTCAAAATTAAGTCTTTGGGAAGTTGTTCCAAGTCCCCGGGGCCAGAGGATGGGGTGGGGTTTGGGGGTGGGGTGAGTCCTACAAGAACATACATAAGTGTGCTAAATGGGAGCTGGAGAGATAGCTTAGTGGCCCTGGGTCTGGTTCTCACTACTGTCTATAAGTCAAGGGAGTTACAGAGGACCCAATACACTTTTCTGGCTCCCTTGGACACCAGGCATGTACATGGGACATGTGCATACAAGCAAGACTCACATGCACATAAAATAAAGACAAATAATATTTTCAGAGACTATGCTAAATGTGCTAATAAAAATAACTATATGCTGTGATACTTTTGCACTAATGCAAACCACATTCACTGCTAGAAACTTTTTAAAACAACCTCATTGAGATATAATCTATATGCCATAAAATTCAACCCTTTACCGTGTATAATTCAGCCAGGCACACCTAGGTTTTTAAGCAGGAGGGCTGTAAAATCAAAGCCAGCATAGGCTATATATCAAAATTCTCTCTCAACAACAAAGAGAAAGAAAGTGTATAACCCAGTTGTTCGTAATATTGTCACAGAATAAAGCAGTCGTTACCACAGTCTAAATTTCAAACATTTCATAGTCTCTCCCCTCACACATCATTCTCATTATAGCTGATGGAAATTTACCTGATGAGCCTTTTCAAAATAGTGTTTGTGGGGGCTGGAGAGATGGCTCAGCAGTTAAGAGCACTGGCTGCCTTTCCAGAGGACTCAGGTTCAAGACCCGGCACCCACATGGAGGCTCAGAACCATCTGTAACTATTTCCAGGGGATCCAACACCCTCTTATCTCCACACATGCACAGACATATATGCAAGCAAAACATCCATTCATATAAAATAATAATAAATAATACATTTATAAACTGTGTTTGTTGACATATATATGCCAGGATGTTCACAATCTGAAGATATGTACAAAAAAAGTGTGAACAACAAAAATGTATGCAAAATAGTCCTCATTTGGAAACTTAAAATAAAAAGGTGTAGTCCATATAATTAATGGAATATTCTACAGATATTAAAACAAGTGAAGTGGTTCTAAATATGCGACATAGAACAAAAGTCCAAGATGAAAGGAAAAGTATCATCTCAGGACCCCAAGATTACATTCTCAGCACAAAGGAGATTTATTTGTCCCAGAGGGAAAGAGGACAGGGAATAAGAGACAAAGACAGGGAGAAGAGGAAGGGAACAAGGGACAGGGGGCAGGGGTATTTGTCCCAGAGGACAAAGGACTGCCTCTGGATGGAGAGGAGACAGATGTGGCACTTAGGAAAATGGTAGTTTATAAAGCTACAAGGGGAAACCCCGTGTTAGGACGAGGTGTTCAATTTTAATTGAGCATGTTAATTAGATGAGCCAAAGGGGGCTTTTGATAGCTGGACCTTGGTGGTCAGCCTCAGGAGGAGGAAGTGACCATAAGGGACTAGACCTTGGGGGCTGGCTTTAGGGATGTAATCTAACAGTTTTTAGCAAGGCAGAAGGAATGGGGGAGGGCAAGGCCTGCCAGAGCCATGCTTGCCATGCTCACGAGCTGACCAGAGTCCCTTCACAAGATAGATTATAGTTAATAAAAATAATTATAAATAATCAAAAGCAGAGCAGTTTATACTATTATGCCATTTGTAAAAGTCATACCACCAAATGAGGACACATTCCTAAACCCTCTGAAAGCTGTGACTGGGAGCTGATGATTGGCCCCCTGGAGCAAGAGGAAAGAGGGTGTTCTCTATCTTGTACCTTTTGAAGATGTTTGCTTTGAAACATGGGCATGCTTTTGTGATTCGATCCTGTCAAACCGTTAAAGCCAGGTGTGAAAGGTCATCGCAATCCCCATCCATTTATTACATGAAGTCCTCATTGGCTTCTGGGACCACACGCTCTGCTCAAGCATGAGCGTGTCTGCAGTAATGTGTGCAGGAATTCACACGAAGTGACATTTCAAAAGACACCATTAATCTCACCTCATCGGGTGACAGGGAGCTGAGTCTCCACCAGCCACATTGGAATTCGGCACAGACAATGAGAACAGATTTCCAATTTCATTTCCAGGCTGCCGCTTTGGTCCAGATCTACACGGATGGGTCTGTATTGGTTGCTCATGGTGGTGCTGAACTGGGACAAGGCATTAACACCAAAATGATGCAGGTGAGAGAGGTTGTTTCAGTATTGCCTTAGAGAGAGCTCATAAAACAGCCCTGGACGCTGTGCTGGGCCACATTTGGGCTTTGTGATACAATGGCCAAGATGTCCACAGTGTCCTAGCAGTTCTTTGGGGACCAGCTGGAAGTACGCCAGCTGGGATGCGGAAAGAGTGACAGTGACATCACTAAACCCAGCTTCCTAAGGGGTCAGCGGCTCCAGACCCCTGACGGCAGCAGCTTACATTCCCATGGCTTCTAAGCTTGGGCTCTGGGCAGCCCGCTCTCCCAGGCAACTCCTATGCATACCTAACACACCAAGTTCAGGTTCCCTGATCCCAGAAAACGTGCTCCTTCCTCAGAGACAAGTCCATTTGCTTGTGGTCATTTTGTAAAAGGCTGTGGTGGGGGGCTCCCCTCTAGCCCATGGACTCCTGCTATGAGTAGCCGACCTGACGTCTCAGAGGCAGCGGAAGGATGGAGGACCTGGGTTTTGTCTTTGCAGGAACCTGTCTCCCCAGCAAAGTCTGCCACCTGGCACTGGGGAGATTAGACCAGCTCCTGGCCTGGGACAGGTTTAGAGCAGAGAGAGGCCCTTGCTGATTTAAAGACCTTTGCGGTCTTTATAAGTTTTAATTTGTGCATACTGTTCAAAACATCTTTCTCACTTTTCCGAACTGAATTAAGAGAATCACAAAACTTTCTGAAAGGGTCCAGTCACTGTCCCGGTTCCGGTTTGGACTGGTCCATTCTGTCTCTCCCTCTGGACAGGTGGCCAGCCGTGAGTTGCAGATCCCGATGTCTTACATACACCTGGACGAAATGAACACTGTCACCGTCCCCAACACAATTGCCACCGGAGGCTCCACCGGAGCCGATGTCAATGGGAGAGCTGTGCAGGTGATGAGCTCCCTGACTCCCAGCCTCCCGCTGCTCCCCACGCCCTTTCCCAGAGGACCCAGTGTCTCGTGTCTCGGGACTCTCTTCAGAACGTTCCCATCCCACCCAATGTAAACACAGGGAGTTGTGGTACAGTTTCAGGAGACGCGGACCGCAAGTCCTCAGCCCCACGGGTGGGCAGAACATCACGGTAGTGGGAATTCACCATAGGGGATGTTCTTCACCTCACAGGAGTGACAAGACAGGTGGCCAGGGGTCAGGTATAACTTTCAAAATCACATGTCGGGGGGAGGGGGGGTCACCTCCAGAAGCTTTCCATACCCCCCACAATAACACCACCAACTGGGGCCTGAACATGAACCACTAGGGGTTATTTCGTATTCAAACTATAACATTTGCAAAATGTCTCCTGATGCTTTTTCCCAGAAGTTTCTGGAAGGAAGGAGGCAGAGCGTCAACTCTTGGTGTCTCTCTGTCCTACCCGAAACAGGGCACCAGAGCATTATCTAGCACCATGAATTCTATATTTGCTTAATGTATTTCAAGAACACCCTAAGACATGAGTGTCACAAAGGCAAGCGACAAAGGCCTCTTTGGCTGACGCGTCATTGGGAGTACACGACAGAACATGGCCCAGTGTTCCCAGGCTGCGGTGGGAGGGCATCCCTGGAGGGCACAGGGGCTCAGGGAGACACCTCAAATGAGACTGCAGTGTCTTGTGTCAGAGCAAGCAGGTCGACTCCTCCAACACTTCAAATGTAAATCAACTCCATCCCTCCACCCTCATTTCACCTTCCACACAGGAAAACCAAGTTCCAAGGTGCTAGTGACGCCCCCACCCCCCCCACACACACACACGAGAACAAAGACCACCACAGACTTCCCTCTAGGTAGGACAGAGCAGCCTATTAAGACAACAGCCCTGGTGTCTGAAAGAGGACAAGTGGGACCCCGAAAGGAGACAGACTTTCCGGGTTTGGTCCTTGGAATTTGACACCCATGACTCTGTAGCTACATGACTCCAAGTTCCAGTCCTTCTGGACTAAAGCAACTGAGATAACAGCTAGTGTTATCTCAACCTAATATGAAGCAGCCCGGCTGTCGGTTAGAATATCGGCGTTATCCAAGCCAAGGCACTTTGGAGGTCAAAGGGAGTCCATGATAGCAATACAAGCTGGCAAGCTTGCATGGGACTTGGCCTGGGGAAAAGGGAAGGATATGGTCCACCCGTTACTAATATCTTCAGGTCATAGATGAGGTCCCTAAGGCGTGGAAAGTAAAAGACACTCAGACTCTGGACACATTTGACTGCACAACCACGTCATCTTTCTGTGTGACCTCATGAAGTACCGGATCTGGGAAGCGCATTCATGTTCATTTTCCTGGGTAGTGGTTTGCTGGATATTTGGCAAATCCCAAATGAAATGTTGACACAGAAACAAACTAAAACCTAGTTGGTGCAGCTAAACTGAGAAGAAGGGGTTTGCATTTTGCCTGGTGTCCCTCTGAGCCCCCTCTCATCTTCTGTGGTGGCTCCCCAAACTCCACATCAGCATCAGTACCACAGGGGCGGGCCAGGGCCTGACCCTAGCCCAGATGTGGGGACAAACCCCACGAAACGTCTGAGGGAGGAAGGTAGCCATGGCAGTTGCTGGGGGGGAGGTGGGTCGTGTTCGGAAGGCGTTATCTTTAGTTCTCAGTTGCTCAGCTGTCCTCTCCAACCTGCAGAATGCCTGCCAGATCCTCAGGAAGCGCCTGGAACCCATCATCAGCCAGAACCCTCATGGTCCCTGGGAAGAGTGGGTGAGTTCCCGGGGTGACTGCATCCTGCAGGGAGGGCCTCCCGAGGCCACTGGGTAGAAACACCTGTCCCCTGTTACACTGGGGCCTGCCGGGTCCCTTCTCCCCTGGGCAGCCTGGGGCAGGGAATAAATAGCCCCAGTTGTCCAGGAACACACACCACCCGGCCTGCTTGTTAAAGTGCAGCTTCTTATTCAGCGAGCTCGGATGGAACTCGGGGTCTGCACTTCCGCCGACTCCGTGGCAGCCCCCACGCTGCTGGTCCATGCTTCAAGCAAAAGAGTAAAGGATAGATACAGATCTGAATCACACCTTGGGACAGCTTACTGGATGGACACCTCGGTTCACTTGCAGACGTAGCTCAGAGGTGGCAGGTGCTATTCTTTTTTTTATGTTAAATGACTTTATTTAAGTAGTACAGCCTCACACTAAGCATGTATTTTAATTTTTTTGTTTTATTATTAATTTTTTAAAATTTATTTTACATACCAACCACAGTTTCCCTTTCCTCCTCCTGTTCTCTCCGCTGCCACCTCCTTTCTACCCCACCCTCATCCACTCCTCAGAAAGGGTCAGGCCTCCCCTGGGAGTCAACAAAGGATAGCGTATCAAGTTGAGGCAGGGCCAAGCTCCTCCCCTCTGTAGGTAGATGCTGTTCTTTGTTTTTTTTTGTTTTTTTTGTTTTTTTTGTTTTTTTTTTTTTTTGGTTTTTCGAGACAGGGTTTCTCCGAGTAGCTTTGCGCCTTTCCTGGAGCTCACTTGGTAGCCCAGGCTGGCCTCGAACTCACAGAGATCCGCCTGGCTCTGCCTCCCAAGTGCTGGGATTAAAGGCGTGCGCCACCACCGCCCGGCTGGTAGATGCTGTTCTTAAGGGCAGTTTCGCAGATAGATGATTATTCTCCATGGAGTCCACTTCCCAAGTTTGCGTGTGATGGGGGTCCTTGCAGGAGGAGCTGCTGTATGGGGTCCGGTTTGAAAAGTCCCTTCAGTGCCGATGACAACCGCAGCTGTCTTGCACGTACACATTTCAAATATGCCTGAGGAACACAGGGTGGGCCTTCTCTGAGTGCTAAGTCTGGCTCTTCTTTCAGAATAAACATTTCATGTGAGAACATGGCCCCGCTAAAAAAGCTACCAAGCCCAGAGCGTTCCCATCAGTCAAGGGTCATTGACAACATTGACAAAGGGACACCCTGAGGGAGTTGGTGACAGATGGAACACGTTGAGTGACAAGATCATGTAACCTGTAATTTATCAGCGTTACCTCATTTTTCACTGTGTTCCTTTGAAACTTGAGTGTGTGTGTGTGCGTATGTGTATATGTGTATGTGTGTTTGTGTATATTTATGTTTCTGACCATAGTTGCTCTGTTCTCAGGACAATTCCAATTCTCCCGGGGTGGGACAGGAAGGTGGAAAGCCTTCATCAGATTTTGCTTGGGGACCCTACCTTTAAACTCCCACCAAAATTTACCTTTCATCCTTTTTCCATTGGTCTATCAGTGGACCCACAAAACCAGCAACTTAGTCTCTTCAGAGGAAGTCAGACAAGCCAGTCAGACTTCCCAAGCAAGCGGTGAACACTCACCTGGCAGTATGCTCCATGTTCATTCTGCAGAGGCATATTCCCAAGAGTAAGGGAAAGCGCAATGGCCAGTGGGTATTTGCTTTCCTCCTCTGCCCAGCTGTGTGTCTGTCCCTTGAAAACAGTATTCCTTTTTTGCAGGTCAATGAAGCTTTTACTCAAAGCATTAGTCTCTCTGCCACAGGATACTTTAGGTAAGAGGTGGTCTGTGTCATCCTAAAGCTATTCTCTTTAGAAATGAAAAGAGCTTAGGAAACGTGTGTTCGGTTGTTTATATCTTCAGTGTGATCTCTATTGCTTATTTCATTTTCACCGGAAGGTTTTCATTAGAAGTGCTATGTTATTATAAAAGTAGATAAGTTTGAGATTAGTCCCAGTTTCCTAATTGCAATTTATTTTTATTTTATTTTATTTAGTTTTTGAAGACAGGGTTTCTCTGTGTAGTTTTGGTGCCTGTCCTGGATCTTGCTCTGTAGACCAGGCTGGCCTTGAACTCACAGAGATCCACCTGGTTCTGCCTCCTGAGTGCTGGGATTAAAGGTGCGCGCCACCACCGCCTGGCCCTAAATGCAATTTCTTATTCACACTACATACAAATTATGTTATATACACATATTATATAACATAGGTGTATATTATTATAGATTTCAAGGTTTCTTGATAATGCTCCTATGTGTAGAGTGGACAGCTCAAGACATAGTGACTTTAGCAAGTTTTTTATATAGTCTAGCATGAACTTACTACTTATACTTTTGGTCCTGATAGTTAATATGACCCAGGATTTGGTCATAATACTCTTGGTCTTCAGAAATCTTGCCCTGCAGCCTGTCTTCTGTCATATGGGAATTTATAGAAGCCGTGAGTCAAGCCAGAGCCCAGAATAGTTCTATACAAATAGGATAAGAAGTTGTGCGAAGCAAGTTAACGGTTTCTCAGACAAGGATGCTTGTCCAAATAGGCAATAGATATCTCACCAGAGGCAACAGAAAACTAAGCCTGTTCTTACCCCATGAGCACACGTGGGCACATCTTTTATGATTTAGGGGGGAATAATGGTGTGTTCCGCTGATGTCTAGCTCTGGTGTGTCTGGTGAGACACAGCTCGTAGTAAGGAGATCTTTAAGTGTCAGTCGCTCAGGGAAAGGGTGAACTTTAGAAATCGGAGTGAGGGTGCTCAGTTTTGCTTAGTTTCACAGACAAGACCCTGAAAGATGGGGCACTCCTGAGTGGGGGTTTAAAGGGTGGTAGCCATCCTGAGGTACACCAGAAGCTAGAGAGGCATGGATGTACCAAAATACACTGTGGAAGAACAGCTTGGAACAGCAGATCCCGGATTACTTGGCTGCACTGCTTAAAGCACATTAGAGTGATCTGGCCACCCCCTTCCCCACGGTGACATGGATATAAAGACATGTTCATTGACAAAGTGCTTTACAGTGGGTTGACGGTCTGTGAGCTCTCGCGTGAGTAGTGCCGGCATATGTAGAAAGGTGAATTGCTTATGTGTGGCTGGAGCCAGGGCCAGGCACAGAGCTTCTCAGAGCAATGGCCTGTGTTAGGACATGCAGCCTTACAAACACATCAACTACTGCTGCACCATTCACCTGGAGGCACTTAGCCCTGAAGAGTTTACAATAACAGAGTCTGCAGATTGTTCTAAGTGAACCAGGCATGGTGGTCTGTAATTCTCGCCCTTTCAAGGCTGATCAAGAGTTTTAAGATAGCCTAGGCTACACAGTGAATTTTAGGTCACTTGTACTACTCAGCAACATCCTATCTCAAAAAAAAAAAAAAACCAACAAAATGAACCTGTTAGAACAATGATGCAAGTGTGAGATAATTTTAGAGCAATTGCAATGAAATAGAAACAAAACAAAACACTGCCGAGAGATGCTTCAGACTCAAGATTGAATTGTGAAGTTTCTTCATGGAGTAAGGGTAGAGGGAGGGATGAGAAAGAATTCATGTGTGCATATAGAAACCAATGCACGAAGATTCAAAACCTGCACATGGTCAATGAGTATAGATTTCATAGTGGCTTTAAAAACTGGGAGTTGAGTATAGTTCAGTAGTAGAGTACTTCTCCAGCATGTATAAGGCTCTGGGTATAATCCCTAACAACACACACACACACACACACACACACACACACACACACACACACACACACACACTCTTATTTAAGGCAGTCACAGAAGAACAAATATCAAATGATAACATTTACGTGAGATTCCCAGAAGAGTCAAATTCTGAGGCTGAAAGCCGAGTGGTAGCTGTTAGGGAGTGTAGAAGTAACTGTCTTATTAAATAAGAAACACAGAGCCAATGCAAAGATGAAAGCCCAAGAGGTCAGAGCTAAGAGCCTTACCCTTCACTCTGCAGCTATCCTCTTCAGCCAAGAGACCTACTTCCTGTGTGTTTGTCTTTATATAGACTTTCTGTTCTGCCTTCTCATTGGTTGTAAACCCAACCACATGAAAGCCTCGTCACTGCCTGTCTGTACAGACCTCCAGGTTTTCTATGGTTGGTACTGAAATTAAAGGCATGTGTCTCCATGCTGGCTGTATCCTTGAACTCACAGAGATCTGCCTGGCTCTGCCTCCCGAGAGCTGGGATTAAAGGCATGCGCCACCACCGCCCAGCTCTGCTATGGCTTGCTATTAGCTCTGACCCCCAGGCAACTTTATTTATTAACATACAAATAAAATCACATTTGAAAGTACAAATAAAATATCACCATAAGGGAGAGAGGAGATGTTGTGTCAGTGTTTTATTGATACAGAGGGTCACTGGGAAGAAGAGAAAGTTCTGGAAGGGATGGTGGCTATCTTTGTTTATAGGGGTTTATCTAATATTATGGACCCACACAATACCCCAAACAGTGATAAATCTCAGAAATAGGAATCTGTGAGGTTTTTTTCAAGCCAGTGTTTGTAAGTTGGCATGGTTAGCAGACTCTGCAAGATAATGAGTCCAAATGCTTTGGTCTCAGGTGAAAACTTGGCTACAGAGAAAATATTTCAAAGCTGGAGAGAAAGGCTTGATCATGGGACCTAGATGTCCACCTTCGTGAGATAAAAAGCAGCATCAATAGTAATTGTCCTTCACTGAAGAGTGCTGACCCGGCCACGTGAAAACAGTTTGAGTGACATGTTCGCCCCAGCTTCTAGCTTTCACAGTTCTTAATGAGATTCTGGACCTTTTGACCCCATGACTGCTCAAGATAATTTGCAAAGCAATGCTAAATCAAAAAGGTATTTGGATCAGGCCTCCTGTAACATCACAGCAGTAACTCTAGGACCAGAGATTGCCACCTGCCTCCGGACCTGAGAGATGCTGTCCTTGAATTCATTTTAGCCTCACCTCCAACAAAAAGCACACTCCATGCCATGGCTCTCCAGCCAACTAGGAATTGTTTTTCAAAAAGAAAATCATATGCACTTTCTTTCTTTTCACAGTCATGATCGCTTAGAATGATGTTGGGTGTTGTGTTTTGGTTTTGGTTTTGGTTTTTTAAAAACAGTGTAGGTCTTAAAGGTTTTACGCTTGCTTAAAGTTAAAAGTTGAGTCTCTTATTGAAACCTCACATGAAGATCATGTCCCTCCCTCCTCATGGTAGGCATGTCCCTTCTCCTCCAGGCCAAGTCCTTCGCAGGATTTTCAGAGGCTCCACATTCTGTGAATAATTTACCCCTGAAGCCACCTGGATTTCTCTGGTTTCCATATTCTTTTTTTTTTTTTTTTTTTTTTTTTGGTTTTTGGAGACAGGGTTTCTCTGTAGCTTTGCACCTGTCCTGGAACTCCCTCTGTAGACCAGGCTGTCCTTAAACTCACAGAGATCCGCCTGCCTCTGCCTTCTAAGTGCTGGGATTAAAAGGGTGCGCCACTGCTGCCCAGCCATCTCCATATTCTTAGAGACAGTCTCACTGACGAGCCCCTGTCCTGACCACGAGCTGTGTCTGTCTTCTCAGGGGCTACCAAGCCGACATGGACTGGGAGAAGGGAGAAGGTGACATTTTCCCCTATTTTGTTTTTGGAGCCGCGTGTTCTGAGGTTGAAATCGATTGTCTGACCGGCGCTCACAAGGTAAGTGGCAAACACGTGCAACCAGTGTAGTCAGTGTGTGTTATGAAGGTGATGTGGCCTGCCTTCATTTGCAGGTCACATGCAAATATTTACTAAACAGAAATTTTGGTGCAAGCAAGTGCTCATAGGGAATGAGAGGGAAGGGACGGGTGCAGGCATGTTTCGATAGAGAGATGAATGGCCCTTGGTGGTGGGAGGAGGAGGAGGAGGTGAGAAAGGAGAGCTGTGGTCATCCTAACTTGGGTGATTGGACCTCTGTCCCATTCAGGTTTTCCCTTTCCGGAGCCAGGACACATAACTTCAGTTATGAATTCTTGGTCTCAGTTGTCGTCTGCCAATAACTGTAGAACAGAACTTTGCTTTTGTAGACCACTAGCATTTATACACATCTTTGAAATCAATGAAGAACCTTCCAGTAACTTGCCTCATTCAGCTCCATTAAAAACTCCATGAGCTAGAAATTATTATTGATCCTCTCACTTACTGATAGGAATATGGGAGCTTTATAAGAGTTAACTGGCCAAGTCCAAGTGACCATTACTATAAGGTATAGCAAGAACACACAATCAGAGATTCTCGCTCAATACTGTTCTCAACACATCACGGTAGTTTCAGGTTTTGCACAAAAGGAACTTAAAAACAAACATCCCCAAACATTAAGCCACTGTCCGTTCATCTGCAATACACCGACATGCATTAAGGACAATTCACCAAAGAGCTGGATGCACGGGTCTCTTAGAACTGGGCCTTGAGGCCTGCTAATTCAGGTCCCTGCAGCATCTCCACACTGAGGATGGGTGACACTCTGTCCCAGGGTATGAAATCCAGCGTGACATGGCCTGCTCTGTGGTGCCATACACCAGCCTAGTGACATTGGGACAGTGACATTCTGTAAGCTTTCATCCTCTGGCCTGTGGAGAGTGCTCTCATAGACACTAGAGACTAAAGCCTAAGACCAGCCACACTGAAAGAGGGAGGAAAACAGGCCAGGGCAGCAAGGAATCAGCTCTGCAATGTGGAGGGGCTGAAATCTACTCTCACCAAAGATGATCTAGGGCTTCCCAAAACTGCAATGGCTACCTGGAACCCAGGAAATGATCAGCCAGGAGCACTGTCCCCTTGGGTTAAGGAAAACCCCGAATTAAACACGGAACCAGATGATGACCACAAACCATAAAGTTTCCTGCATCCTTTTCATCTCATTGGCAATAGAACCAGAAGAATGTGTGTTTGAGGCCAGTGTGCACTACATAGAGTTCCAGGTCCAGCCTAGGCTACAAAGTGAGAATGTGTCTCAAAAAACAAATAGTACAGGGGGTGACTTTTTTAATCCTAAAAGACAACCCTCTGCCACAAATTTTCAACACAAAACAACATGCTTTTAAAATTTCTTCTACAATATTACTATTTTAAAATGGCATGCCATGTATTTTTAAAATATTTAATTCTGATAATTTACTTTTTGTTGGTGGTGTTGTTCCAAGCACAAACAAAATACAAAGAGATTCTTTATTAAACAAGGCAAAGAGATGAGGTGCCTGAATCTGAATTGGGCAGAAACAGCAGCAGTTATGAAAGTGTTGATTTTAAGAGGGGAAAGGAGGAGGTCTGTGTTAGAATGAGCTAGGACATGTTGGTGAGTTCTGATCGTGTATTTTAATTAGGTTAGTCAAAATGATACATTTTGGTTACTGGACCTTGATGTTTTGATGAGTGTTCTCATCTGTGTATATAATTTTATGGTCTGGTTTTCTTTATTTCGTTGGCTGTCATGACCACTTTACACATTATTACTTCATAACCATTATTTCAAGTGGCTGTATAATATTAGAATTGAGCAAGGCAAAATTTCACAACCTCAAATTTGTAGGAAGGCAGGCTCATCTCTGGTACTTGTGAACTTTAAAAATTCTAACAGACTCCATGTCAACAACTCTATGGTCATAGCTTACTCAACAATACCTGGTTCGTATTTATCCCAAGGAGCACCTCTTAATTAACAACATATGGTATTTTTATGACCTTTACCAATAGTAGAACTTCATTGTCGTGGCCTTTTAGAATCACCTTCTATGCCCTAATCAATGAAAACATTTATTGTTGATAAGAGGAGTATATACAGCAATCATGTTTTTGTTCTCCACAGAACATCAGAACTGACATTGTTATGGATGGATCTTTCAGTATAAACCCGGCTGTGGACATAGGCCAGGTAGGCAATACCTTGTTGGTGAAGTAATATCCAAATACTTCACATGCTAACCACATTTTCACCTGCTCTATTTTCTGGGTATCACTAAATAGTTGGTGTATTCACTAAGATTGTTTTCACTGTCTTCTTCTTTTCTTTGTTTCACACATAATAATGTATCCCAAGGAGTGGAAATGTAAGTAAAAGAGTGCACACTTCAAAGACAGGAGTATGGGTTCCACTTGGGTGTGTTGACTTCAAGTTGCTTATGAGAGACCCCAGTGAAACCACCAAGAAGAACACTGGTCTTCAGGCCCTGGGCAGAAGTCATATGTTTGGAAGTGATTGGAGGGACAGTGGTAGTTGAAGCCACATAAGCATCAGCATCATGAGAGGGAGAGAGGAAGAAAAGAGAGGAGAGGGCAGGGGGGGAGCAGGGGGGCTTTAACTCCACAGGGAAGAATCACACGCATGTATTCACTGTGGTTTTAACGGAACCCCAATATTCAGTACATTACGATATGAACAAAGACAGTCTCTTTCCACACAACATTTGTAGACATTTATAGTCCCTAACACTGATTTTTTTTTTAAAGTTTTATGTGTGTGAGTGTTTTGCCTGCATGCATGTCTGTGGACCACATGTGTGCCTGGTGCCCACGGAGGCCAGAAGAGGCCTTTAGATTCCCTGGAACTGGATTACAGACAGTTGTGAGCGACCATGTGGGTGCTGGGAATGGAACCGAGGTCCTCTGGAAAACACTGTTTTTTTCTTGACTCTCATTTTGGTGGAGCTAAATTCAACTCAAACAGCTATTGAACTAAAAAATAATGATCAGATGATGTTAAGATTTTAGACTTTGGAATGAGGCAAAGGGCGTCGAGGTGGTCTAATACAAGCCCATTGCTAAAAGTATGTGCTGAGAAACTCTTCCCTGAGAAAGAACAGATCCAAGACCTGCTGTCATCCTCAGAACGGGCATTCTAGCAACTAGAAAAAGAGAGGTCTCGCCATTCATTGAATGACTTGGGGGTACAAATCACTTGTTACAGGTCCCACAGGGGCATCAGACATCTGTTTCTAAAATCACTGCTATGCAAATGACTTACCCAACCATTCAAGATAAGCATTAATGTTTCTGCGACAAGTCCTGTTAGTTTTCTGAAACCTACCCAGGGGGTTCAGAGGCTTTTGTTCACACCTGCAGGCAGAACACGTGGAGTTAAGAGACCTAGACTCCAGAGGGAATCAGTCTTTTGAAAGATGACATCTTTTGCTGATGCTTGGAAAGTCAGCACATCATTTAAAAAATGACATTCATCCATTTTTCTGTGTCTCAGATTGAAGGCGCCTTTGTTCAAGGTCTTGGACTTTATACCCTAGAGGAGCTGAAATACTCCCCTGAAGGAGTCCTATACACCCGTGGTCCGAGCCAGTACAAAATACCTTCAGTTACTGATGTCCCCGAAGAATTCCATGTGTCCCTCCTGACACCAACCCAAAATCCAAAAGCCATCTACTCTTCTAAGGTCAGTACATATGGTCAGGCTTCGTTCAGCTTGCCATTTATCCGTACATGTTCCGAACAGTAGCCAAAGAAAGTGGACAGAGGCGTGATGATGTAATCGCTTCTTGGCTTTTTGGCTGAGATCAAGTGTAGGAGTGATGATGGAGCTCGGTGGAGGGGCACTTGATTGGCATGCACAGGCCCCTGTGTTCTGTCCCCAGTACCACAAAAGAAAAAAAAGCTGGCTTGACATCCTCCTCTGTAGCCAGGAGGTGGTGGCACACGCCTTTAATCCCAGCACTCAGGAGGCAGAGGCAGGTGGATCTCTGTGAGTTCGAGGCCAGCCTGGTCTACAGAGCGAGATCCAGGACAGGCTGCAAAGCTACAGAGAAACCCTGTCTCGAAAAATCAAAGAGAGAGAGAGAGAGAGAGAGAGAGAGAGAGAGAGAGAGAGAGAGAGAGAGAGAGAGAGAATTACCGTGGTTTATAATAAGAAGAAATTTGGTGAAACACTGCTCTGAATTATGCATATACTATTTCTTGTCAGACGAATTCTCAATATAATTTGTCTTATAAGCAACATAGAGTGATGTGTAAACTCCTCATTCAGCCTTAACAAATGTCACAAGCTTAAATTCATTCCAGAGTAAGTTTCAAACTAAATAACTGGTTTTTGTTTGGTTGGTTGGTTAGTTGGTTTTTGTTTGGTTTGGTTTTTCAAGACAGGGTTTCTCTGTGTAGCCTTGGATATCTTGGAACTTGCTCTAGACCAGGCTGGCCTCAAACTCAGAGATTTGCCTACCTCTGCCTCCTGAGTGCTAGGATTAAAGGCATGCACCACCACCTGGCTAAACTAAACAATTTTTAGTTTCATAATTCATAAATTGTGAATGACTTCATAGAAGGCTACTCAAGAATTAGGGGCTTGTATCACCACATGAGATTTTCTCTTTTAACTGGACTTCACTAAAGGAAAATTAAGACAATCACAATGTATTTTGCCAGAATCCATTTTTCATAGCATTGAAATAACCTGCTCTGGGAAAAGCCAATTCTTGTGAACTAGATGGCAGGAACCAGAGACAAACAGCATCCTGTAGAACTCTGTGCACATGTTTACAAGGCTGGGCTGCTGCAGACCCTGTTCAGGGGCCATGAACATGGCCTGTGACCCTTGCACTTTCCTCTTCCCAGGAGAATGTACCTATTTGTACCCAGAGAAGGAGATCAGTGGTGATACACTGCCCTCCTGGACGATGACGGTCTGTAACCCTGTAATAGTCTACCTGGTTGCCAAACCAGAGGGACTGTAACCTCGTGCAGTTTCACAGCCAGGGGGAGCAGGTCACACGATATTTCAAAATCCTCACTACGCTCCACCTGGCAGGTGTTTATTTTCAACCAAGCCGAGTGTAGGTTAGAAGACGCTTCTTGATGTAGAGCACTACCCATCATTGAAGACTCTTCTTGATGCATAGCACTACCCTATGTCTCCTGGCTTCTCCTCCCTCCCCACCCTACACTGTCCCCACTGGGGCCATAGAAGAATAGGAAGACCCTCGTGGAAAGGCTGGGCTTGTCAGGCTGTCCCTTAGCATAGTGTTTGAACCTTAGGGGCATTTGTCCTCTGAGAGTCTGTAGCGTTTATGACTTCATCTGCATGTGTGGAGAGACTGAGCTTCAGCACTTGTCTTGGGTATTCACTTCACAATGAGGGTACGTTCCAAGAAATTTGGGTTCGGTGATTCCATAGGAATATCATAGCATATACTACACAAACTTAAATGGTATGCATCAGTCACTTAACATGGTCCCTCTAGGTACCTGGGAAACACAGTAAACATGGTACAAGAAGCTGCTGCCAATATGACACAGCATTCTGGTTCACAGTCAGCTTTTTAAATATAAGTGTATTCTAAAATAGCAACAAAATAAGGCAAACATGAAACTAAAGCACAGTTGTTTATTACCAAGTATTGTGTACCGTGTGTACTTGTATTGTTGTAGTTTTGTACAACCGGCAGAACAGTGTCCTGTCGAGATCAGCGTCCTCACAAACACCTAGACAACATGTGGTGCCATGGTGTCATGATGTCACTAAACAATAAAATTATTGAGCTCCCTTATGAACATGTGGGACCACTGTTGCATATCCTGTCCATCACTGATCAAAATACATTATCAGTGTAGGACTGTACTCAAGGTGTGTGCACCTAAGTCATGTGGTTGTTTAATGTCAACCAGGAGAAAGGGGGTGCCTCCTAAGGCAGCGAGGGAGTGCTGCATAATAAGGATGGGTAGACACCTGTGACATTGCTCAATCCCAAACGGCAGGACAGGAGAGCTCATCCTGTAACCTGAATAGCAGGAAGAGTCAGGGCTTGCTGACTTAATCTGTTCTGTGTTGCTGTATCAGAATACTTGAGACTGGGTAACTTACAAGGAACGTAGTTCAGTCTCAAAGCTGGCAAAGTCCAAAATTAACGAGTCACCTCTGATGGTGACTTCTTGCTACTTTATGCCATGGTATAAGATACAGAATGATAAGACCAAAAAAAAGGGCCAAACTCACCTTTATAGCATACCACTCCACATTAATACATTCATGAAGGCGGAGCCCTGATGACCTAACAACCTCTTAAATGTCCTACCTTGCAATGTATGGAGAATGAGTTGTCAGCACATGACCTTAGGCAGACATGTTCCAACAACAATAACCAGTAGAAACAGTGTGTAGGAGATGCTGATACTAAACGCAGTAGGGCATGTTATAAAGTTTGGGAATGTGACCCGATTCCTTCCTTATAAGTTACCCGAGTCCCGGTCTCCATATCTAAAATGTGACAATGGACGTGCAGGCTTTGTAGACCTGAAAGCTTAAGGACACTACCCATGCAGAAAGTGTGGCAGTGGTCTGTTCAAAGCCAGCTGAGGACGATGTTAGCTGCTAATGTCACTTAGGTATGTCAGTCACTTGTGTGTGGCTGTGACGGATAATGCCTGGCAGAAAGGACCGAACCAAAGCAAGATTCGTTTTGAATCGTGGCTTCAGAAGATCCACTACATCAGGGCAGGGAGACCAGTTCACGGTAGCCGGGGAGCAGAGAAGTAGGGGTCCTGACTCTCGGTTTCTTTTCTCCTTTGTTCCCTTCTTATTTTCGCTAACACTCTGGCCCACAGGATGGTGCAACCCGCGTTCAGATCAGCTCTCTTTACCCCTGGGTGAATCCAGTCTGGAAAAGTATTCACAAACATATCCAAACATGTGCCTCCCCAGTTTTCTAGGTGATGCTAATGCAGTTAGGTTAACGATGAAGATGAGGCCATCATTCATTCTGTGTCATTGTCTTAACTAATAGGCAAGAGCTCATCCATGCCAGGTAGTCAGTCTTTCATTGAATATTCACAAATATCTGAATATGACAGTTTAGCCTTAACCATGAAACATACAATCCCTATTTTGGGTCAAGGTGGTGGCATTGCTCATCAAGGCTTTCCTGGTGTCCATAATGGACAATCAGTCATGTATTTCTGGCTAATTTAAGCCTCTTGAGGAGTCTTTGATCACCAAGTGTGTCCCCTGTGGATTTGATGGTGGAAAGTCGCCAGCTCAGGATTGTGTGTATAGTCTAATTTCTCCTCATAAATTAAGGAAATGGGTATGGTTCATGTGCTAGGCTCTGGAAGTTTGAGTACTTTCCTAGGGTGCAATTAACTCTAGAGTCTGGTATACTTAGATTGGGGTTATGTAGACTCTGAATTGATTCTAATGTCAATCTCTCTCCCCCAGACCTAGACACTCAGCTTTCTCGGGAGCATCCAGCTCAGATTTGGGGGCCTAAGCCATGTTGTGTAAGCCTGAAAACCTCTACTTGTAGCCACCTAAGCCCATGCAGAGCACTCAGAGTACAGGGCACTCACTCCCCCAGTTTCTGGAAGGCATGAGTAGTCTAACACATGTGGGAAGGCTTGCCAGCACGTAAAGGAGACAGGGACGGCCGTCTGTCATGTGATAATATTTGTTGCAATGATGGACCACCTAGACAAAGGCATACCTGTCAGGCTCTGTGGCTTGGTGGTCCTGTAGCTGCCACCTTTGTGCAGCTGAAGGACAAAATGGCTCAGTGACAGATTTCTCATGACACATCCCCATCGTCACGTGTCACGGCTATACAGAAATGCAGCCACAAGATCCCTTTTGCCTATCTATCTCCATCACTCTGACCCATGGAGGACAAGGGTGATACCGTGAGAACCTGATGGCTCCTCGTGCCAAGGAGACCCATCTATTGAGGAGAGCAGACCTGAAGAGCTAACTGGACCAGTACCTGTGGAACAATAATGTCCTCAAAGCCCTTGGCTCCTACCCTACCTCGCCACCAGCTAGTTTTCAGCATTAGTCACTGCTTGGAGGATTTCTTTGGCATATTATGTGAGTTAAGGCATACTTGATCTGTTAACGCAACGGATTAGCCACAGAGGACAAGGCTGGGAAGAAAGGTATGTGATTCATAGTGGCTTTGGTGGCTTCCCTTGAGTTGGCAATAAGTCACAGCTCTGAACATGGCTTTCAGAGCCCTGCATAGTCATCCTGGCAATCGCTGCCCAGGCTTCTTGTACCATCCTTTCCATGGTGAAGCTGCCTAGCTTTTTCAGCCCCTTGGATGAAGCCAGCTCTTCCCTCTTCCCAATACCTTTGTAATGTTGCCCTGCATCAGCTCTCTAGACAAACAGGACCAATGGGCTCTTTCTGGGTATTGGAGATACACATATATGCTTATGTTAGACATGTGTGTTATGTATATATGCATGTGTGTCTATATGTTTGCACATGAATCTACATATATGTGTCTATATATCTATATACATACAAAGAGAGATTTATTTTAAGGAATTGGCTCACATGGTTGTAGAACTGACAAATTCAAGATCTGTAGGGTGGTGGGCAGCAGGCTGGGAAGTCAGGTGTGGTTTCTGCACTGATGCCCTGGGGCAGAATCACTCCTCCTTAGAGGAAACTTGTTTTGCCCTTAGGAACTCTGCACGTATTATCAAAGCTAGTCATTTCTTTTCTTTTTCTTTCTTTCTTTCTTTCTTTCTTTCTTCCTTTCTTTCTTTCTTTTTTTTTTTTTTTTTTTTTTGAGACAGGGTTTCTCTATGTAGTTTTGGTGCCTGTCCTGGATCTCACTCTGGAGACCAGGCTGGCCTCGAACTCAGAGAGATCCACCTGCCTCTGCTCCCAGAGTGCTAGGATTAAAGGACAGTGCCACCACTGCCCAGCACTGAGAGACTCTCAATGGCAGGCACCATCCACCATGGGACAGAGTCGGCAGGTGTGCCTTGAAAAGGCTTTGACTCATCGTAATCCTCTCTGAACCCTGGGGAAAGCGCTTGAACCCCCGCTGTTGACTTAATTCAGACCAAGAAAGATAAGTCCTTTGCACGGGCCCTTCTAAGAATGTCAGCCACTAACAAGCTGTTCCTCTACCTTCCTCATCCCTTAAAAGCCCAGTTGGCACAGTGGATGGCTTCTTCTGCAACCACATGGTCCCCTTGGGCATGGGCATGCCAGGCCTTAGCCAGGCTATCATCAATTGGCAAGTGTAACCAGCATTGGGATTATTACCACCAGAACGGGGCTCCTTTGAGTCCCAACAAGCTTCCTAAACAAATAGAAACTGGCCCATAGCGGAGTTCAGGCCTGTTCTGGAATGGATCCTAAGGGTGGTTGGAAAGGCCATCATCTTGAGAAATGAATGATCCCCAAGTAGGCTATTGTTTGGAAGAGGCAATCCAAAAAATACATGCTGAGTCCTTTGTGGGTTTGTAGAGCAAGCATTAACTACACCCCAGCATGACTGAGGCATTGGGCACAGCTAAACAAACAGCCCAGATTCTGTCAGAGGGCTTACCCGCCTACCCGCGAGATTGCTACAAGGACGTAAGGGCCAAAAGGGGGTGACCCCTTCAGAAGCACTGAGTCAGCTCAGGCCAGCTCCATGGTGTGTGTGTGTGTGTGTGTGTGTGTGTGTGTGTGTGTGTGTGTCCCCATGTCCGTGTGTCCTGCCCTATGGGTTGGCTGCCCAAGGCCAGGTTTCTAAAAGACTTCCTCATTTTTGTCTTCCCCTCCCCAGGGCCTCGGTGAGGCCGGATTGTTTCTGGGCTCTTCTGTGTTCTTCGCTATTGCTGACGCTGTGGCCGCAGCCCGAACGGAGAGAGGCTTGCCCCCACTGTGGGCGATGAACAGCCCGGCCACGGCGGAGCTGATTCGAATGGCCTGCGAGGATCAGTTTACGGACCTGGTACGGGACCCCGTCCTTCTTGTCTGTGAATGTCTGCAACCACTTTCATGATTCTTAGTGCAGGGACAGAGGACATGGGTCAGTTCAAAAGTAATCTCACAAACCCCCACAAGCAGGATGTCTACTTGTGGGAAATGGAAGCTGCTTTGAGAATTTTCGAGTAGGAAGTTATGGGATTCTTATATTTGTAGAAGGGAATGTGGGGTTTAAAGAGTTAAAACTGATTTTTTCCTACTTGGGTCCCGAAAGAACCCGATATAGTTCTTTCCACAGCACAGCAATCTCCAGCCACAATCCACCCCCTCTACCACTTATGCAGGAAGAGGGGGCTACTCCATATCACGTCTTCAGCCAGGCCTTGCCTGCTGCTGTAGCTGTGAGCCACATGTGGCCACAGATCCTAGAAACCAGCTTAGTGTGGACCGCAGTGCACTGTGTGTGTGCTGAATCCATGCCACATTTAAAGATGGCTTGGTGAGGAACTTTTTATTCATATGATGAGAATGGTAATATCTTGGCATACTGGGTTGCAGCTAACTATAACTAAAATTGACTTTATGTAAGTATCCTCCTGTGGTGATATTTTATTTGTATTCTAACAAATAAAACTTATCTGGGAGCCGGACGGTGGTGGCGCACGCCTTTAATCCCAGCACTCGGGAGGCAGAGCCAGGAGGATCTCTGTGAGTTCGAGGCCAGCCTGGGCTACCAAGTGAGTCCCAGGAAAGGTGCAAAGCTACACAGAGAAACCCTGTCTTGAAAAACCAAGAAAAAAAGAAAAAGAAAAAAAAAAACTTATCTGGGGATCAGAGGACAGAGCCAACCACTAGATTAGACATAGAGGCCAGACAGTGGTGGCACACACCTTTAATCCTAGCATTCAGGAGGCAGAGATCCATATAGATCTCTGTGAGTTCAAGGCCACATTGAAAACAGAGCCAGGCATGGTGGCACACACCTTTAATCCCAGCACTTGAGATCCCATGTCTTTGCTTGGGAAAGGCACACATGCCTTTAATCCCAGGAAGTGATGGCAGAAAGCAGAAAGGTATACACGGCATGAGGACCAGGAACTAGAAGCTTTTTAGCAGCAGTTCAACTGAGACCCTCAGGACTCAGAGGCTTTCAGTCTGAGGATTCGTGGAAACAGGGTCGGCTGAGGAGTTGGCGAGGTGAGGTTGGCTGTGGCTTGTTCTGTTTCTCTGATCTTTCAGTTTCCACCCCAATACTTGGCACTGGGGTTTTTTTTTTTATTAATAAGACCATTTAGCAATTCATCTTACATCCTCCGATGACCTAAGGTCCTCCAATCAAACCTCTCCCAAAGGCTTAATACCCCACCCATACACTGGGGACCAAGCTTCCAACACATGAAATTTGGGGGTAACAGTCACATGTAAAGCCATAGCCACCAATTGCACGTTGGTAGATATGAGTACTAGAATTTTTTTTACCTTTTAGAGGTTATGTTTGTTTGTTATGTTTTTGTTTTTTAAGGGTGTATGTCCCTCCACTTAGCCCTGGGAGTACTGGAACTCACTATGTAGACCACGTGGGCCTCAGATTCAGAGATCCTCCTGCCTCTGCCTCTGCCTCCCTAGCACTGTGATTAAAGGTGTGGGCTACCTCACTTGGCCCAGTACTTGGAATTTTAAGAACATGTGTGGCTTCCACTCGTGGTTTTCTAAGGGGCTGTTGTGGCTTCCATACTCAATCCCATGTACATCTTGACATCAGGAGAAGTCAAGACTGAGAGATGTTGGCACGTGTGATTCGGAGGCTGTAGGGAGCCAACGAAGGAGCGCAAACTTTTAATTGCTTTAAAAAAAAAATCTTTCCCAAGGTCCAAAATTCAGGAAGGAGAAGGAAATAGACAGGAAGAGAGGAGCCCTGACACCTTATACACCCCTCAAGCGGTCTTCCTCCGGGACCCCTTCCAGTGACCCCGCCCACGTCTTCCGTGCTATCATTTCATTCGTCCTCTGGGAAAGCCCCGCCCCCACCCCCGCCCCCACCTGTTTACCTGTTCAGCTCAGCCTGGCGGCTGCATTCAATACACCCACTACATGCAGCCAGGCATTGCGTTAGGCTGAGACGGCCACAGTAAACAATGCGCGTTCACGCCCCCAAGAATCCAACGTCTAGCAAAAGACAGGCACAGAAACAGGGATGACTATACAAACCCTCCATCGCTGGGAACTACCCACTCCGGTGGTGCAAAGATGACTTGTGAGCTGCTTACCCATCCTTTGTCCCCAACTGGATGGCAGACTCCCTGAGAGCAGGCAGCATGTTCTGTTTCTCTTGCTCCTTATCATTGAACTTTATAAAATGGCCAACTAAAGTGGTTGGGGTTCCTGGCTTTGAAATCAGATGATTGGGTTCAAATCCCAGCTGAGCCACTCACTACATCTTTAAAAGAAAGAAAACACCTGCGTACTTGTATCCCTCTGAGTAGGAAATGAACTTGGGTTTAAAAGTGGTTATCACTGTACTGGCTCGTACTGAACAAATGTTTTGAGGATCATTATACGGGCAATCTTTTTATGCCCCCAAATAGGCTCTAGTTTCTAGCCTTATGTGTTCTGATTTTCTTAACCTCAACTTCATAACGGAGAACTGATTGAAGGAAGAATTTTAACTGAGTCAAGGTAGCAAGCGGAGGCAGGTGCATGGGTTTGGCCAGGACGCCACGTAAATACTGGCCCATTATCTCAATATGGTGTCTGCTGAAATTTCTCTGTGCCACCATACTTGTACAAACCTGAGTTGATGAAAACAGATTCTAAAATGCATGTGAAAGATGTGTAGTATGGTCTCTACTAAAGGTGTACCAAGCCAATCACAACTGGATTACGGTGTGTGTGTGTGTGTCCAGGTACCTGTATGTGTGTGTGTATACTTAAACTAAGACTCATTCCTCTCCAAAGACTAAAGATAAAAGAGAGATCAGGGCACAGTGAGATGCCTATACACATTTTATTTCATTCTTATGCATGCCTTTAAAATTGTGACCAGACATTGACGCAGATAATCATAACGAAACCTCCACCTCCTGGGACTTAGAACAAGATGACATAAGGTTGAAAGGAAAGTGACGCAGGAAGACGGCACCAGAGCAGACAGGGCCCAGTGCAGTCCTACAGGAGGTAACAAAGAAAACATCAGCTAGCGGGTGACGGTGAGACAGGGGGATGACAGGGAAAGGAGTCCGGGTGGGGGGAAGTTAGAGCAGACGCAGGGCAGAGGAGAAAAGCACCAGGCTGTCTTGGAATACAGAGAGTGTGGGTTTCCTGGAGGGGAGAGTGGGCAGAGGGAAATCCTCAGAGAAAACCAGGACAGGAGCCTGAACTCCCACACACGGTCATAAATGTAAATTCGCTTCTTCCCCTGGGGCAGGCGGGCCTTTGAAGGTAATGTGATCATGGGAATGATACACTCAAGGAAGTAACCCGATAGACGCTATAACGTGAATCAGCTTGAGAGCAAACAGTTGGGAGCTGCCGTGATAGTTAAGAGGCGACAAAGACTTAGCCGGGTAGAGCTAGTGGCATTTGAAGGCGAGGCAGGGTCACACAGTGCCTGCCACTCAATGGAGTGGGGGCAGCTGAGAATCCAGGCGAGTCCAAGGTTGTGTGCTCTGGATGAGTGGAAAGGCCATACTGCCTCTCACAGCAATAGGCAGCCGGGGAATCCTTCAAAGGAGAGTGGCGAATTCGCTTTCAGGCTTGCAGCCCAGTAATCGGTTAGCCAATTTGCTAACACGCGATTACCTCAGGGTTGACTGGAGAGCAGAATTCCAGACAGATTTATGAGTCATCAGCGCACACTAGCAATTAGAACCGTGAAAATAGATAAAAATTCACCTGTGGGTGAAATCGTCACGAGGGGAGAAAGAAAATGGAGAAGAGAAGAAAAGGGGAAGGAGAGGTGAAGAGGAAAGAGAAAGGAGCAAGCCAGGTGGGCTTCGTGGGGGCACCAGGCGGGCAGGCAGACCTGAGGGAGGGGCGGCAAATGGCAGGCTCAGCCTTTGATGTAGAGGTCCCCAGGTCCTGTCACACCTAACCACAACTCTGAGCAGAGCAAACTACTGGCCTGAAAACCACACCGCCATAACCCCTCCCAGATGAAGGTGCCCCAGACTCCAAGAGGCCTTCGCCCCCATGCCCCCCAAATCCAGCAGTGCCCCCTGGTTCTTTCCTTCCCTGACCCCCACTTCACTTCCACAGTCACTGTTACAACAAGAAAGGGAATGGACAAGGAAGGTCTTTGTGGACAAGGAAAGTCACTTGGGAGACCGAGGCAAGATGGCCATGAGTTAGAGGTCAACTTAAACCATACAATGAGGTTCCGGGTCAGCCTGGGCTACATGACAAGCCCTTATCAAAGGAGGAGGAAAAGAAGAGAAAAGAAGGAAGGAGGGAAGAGGGGAAGAGGAGACCAAGGAAAGGATGGTGGGTGGGTGGGTGGGTGCGTGGGCTGGCCTCCAGGGCCTCCTGTTGACCTGGGAGAAAAGACACGCAGGGATCCAAACACCCACCTGACGGCCACCGTGAGCCTGGTGGACTGCTGCTCACTGGGCCCTGGCTGAAGCAACGAGTGGTTTTTGATCCAGGTGCCCCAGTGCCCAAGTTCTGCCTCCAGCCAGGAAATCTGCACTTGTGAGGCTGGTGAACCCTGGCACCCCCGACAGGCGAGGCTCAGGTTTGCCCTGAATGCTCCCACTTGACAATCTGTACACTCGGCTCCCACGAGGGATGTGCTAGTGTTCTGTTTTAACCCCCTCCCTCCAGACAGATTTCTATAACTTGGTTTTTCACCCACCTGTGGCGAAGGGGGTTGGGGGCGGGAGAGGGAGGAACTCTGGGTAAGTCTCATAGGAATCTGTGTTTTGACATAGCACATACGAACAGGTGCATAGTTGACAGGTAAGTCCACTGATGCAAAGATCTGCTTTTCCAACCGCAGCAACGAAACTATGTTGCTATCTTTGAAATAGAGCAGAGTCAAACCCCTGCCAGAGTCTGATGAGGACTGGATCACCAGCAGCCAGCCTCCCAGGACAGTGGATTTGCTACAGCAAAAGGACTGTGCTGCTTTCAGGGTGGGGGTTTACAGGGAAGGAAGGCTGAACCCAGGATCAGGCAAGAAGGTGCATCGGGAGAGGCCCAGGCACTTCTGGCTAGCACAGGTACCTGGATGCATTGCTAGAATTACTAAGACACTGACTGAGCCCTGTAGCAGCAAATCTGTGTGTTTTACAGCCTTGAAAATCAGTGTCCCGATTACATCCCACTCACTTCCCAAAGCAGCAGAACAGGAATTTGCAAAACTAGAACTCCACGCCCCACCTTGAAAGTATCAAGAGCGGGTGGTGTGGAGTAGACATCAAAATTCTGCTGTTGTCACACTTTCTTCAGCAGCACACAGAGAAAATTCTGCTCTCGCCTGTGTGCAACGAGGTCACTATCATCTTTCACTCTCCTCTGTTATCCATCATCTGTCTGTCATCTCCATCCAGCAGCGTCTGTTATCTCCTCACCTCTCACCTGCCTCTCTGTTGACCCACCAACCCCAGGCTCTGTGGAGGTCAATTCTTTGTTTTACTCCTTTGCGTGACATATAAAGGAAACATTTAAAGGAATAAAATGGCTTTTAAACTAATTACGCTACAACAATGTCAGCTTACACTATTGATTTATTGGGAGCCAACAGGAATTGAAGGGAATTGTGGGAAATTCTATTTTTGTAGACTAAAGATGAATTCACATCTCTGGTCAGTTTTGACTTGCCTGAGTTTAATGAAGTCCATTTGCCCATCTGTAAATTATTCGGATAAAAGATTGTTTAAGAAAACACCTGATGACCTAAGTGTAAAGTTTCAAACCCAGGACAAACAACTGAGGTACCCATTTAACAGATCAAAGCAGACCTGACTTCCGGGTTCTCCCAGCATCCCTCAGTCCCTACCTATTACAGGGTATGTTGGCCTACCCAGTCCCTTACCCTGAACTCTCCAGCCCAGAGGCTGGGCTGCTCTTCCCCCTGAGGCTCTTCCTATATAATCCAGACATTTTGGTTACCCACCCCTTTTGTACCTTTGGCCTCCTGGCTGCTGCACCTGGTTCCTCTTTCTCCTCTCTCCCTTTCCTGCCCCATCTCCCCACATGGTCCATCTCAGTCTGGTCATGTCCACTCTGGACTCGCCCGGATGTTCCTGCCTCTGACTATGTCTCCCTTTTACATGCAATAAACTTTTTCTCCGCCATACCTGTGAGCAGTCATAGCCGCCTTCTGTTTTCACCCACTAAGTGGAAGTTCTGTTTCTCTCTGCGGTCATCATCTCTTCTCTTACTGCACCTTTAATACCTCTTCTGTTCCCACTTGACACTAGTTGCTTCTTTTTAAAGGTTACATCTTTTTGAAACCGAAAGAGGTGACTTTTTCATGTCAGATTGCTTTTGTACTAACTGAGTTTTATTTCTGCTTCCTTTAGCAAAAACCCACCAAAACAAAAAGCCCAGCTTTAAACTTGCAAAACTCTTTCTTGGTGGGGTGTGGGGCAGGTCACTGAATTCTATGAGTGAGCCCTTCATTTTGCAGGCCGTTTTGGAAGAGGCTCTTGACATGTTCAGCAATCACCACGCACAAATGTGACGAGTGTGACCTGCTTAGGGAGTGTACTCTCTGCCTCTCAGTTTCTTTTCTGTTTCAGTTTTGATGAACATTTACTTCCACTCACACTGAAGAACTCTTGCTTCTGAGCTGGTTCCAGTTTGCCTAGGTTAATAAGACCTCATATCACCAAGGTCACAGACCCGGATAGAAGATTAACTGTGCAGAACGCGCATCTTTCCGCTATTTGACCATGGGGATGCCCTGTGTCTGTGGTCATATGAGGAGAAAGCACAGCTTTGACCATGGGGATGCTGTGTCTGGGGTTGTATGCAGAGAAAGCACATTTTTGACCATGGGGATACCCTGCGTCTGGGGTTGTATGTGGAGAAAGCGCATCTTTGAGCTTGTGGATGCCCTGCATCTGCGGTTGTGTCTAAAAACATCCCGTCAGTTCTTTCCAGAGGATCCAGTGTTGTGTGCATTTTGTCTCTGCTTTATTATTATTATGTCAAAGAACTAGATTGTTTTAAATCCAAAATTGCTTAATACCTGTTGAGAAAGAGAAAACATGTTCTTATACAAGTTAAGCAAATAATTTTTGATGAATAAATAGGCTAAATGTCTTTTTTGAATAAGAAACTATTTTGCCACCAATTAGTTATGTAAGTTGTTTTAGGTGGGGTTTTTTTCTTTTGTTTTTAAACTGTATTTTTTTTTAAACTTTTCCTTTTTAGGTTCCACATGTGGATTCTAAATGCTGTAAGCCGTGGTCCATCCCAGTTGCCTAATGCCTGGGGTTCAAGCATAAAAGCAGATGTTCCAATGGATTTAAAGCTTCAACAGGTTACTAGTATAAACATCTGTATCTAAAATACATAGAAAATTGGGGGCAATTCTTAAATTTTCATATTTACAAAATAATCTTCGATCACTCACGCACACTATAAGCACTGATGTTTGTGGAGCTCCAGTCAAAGACTATGTTTAATTCGATATAATAAAGAGCACTTTCCACTGTGTGAAGAATTTCTACACTGAGTGTACAGAGAAAATGAATGTCTAGTCTAGGCACATGTTCCTGGGGGGGGGGGCAGAGAAATGAGCTGGATTCTGTGGCTGTTTTCCTACAGTTTCTGAAGTTCCTGACTTAAGATGTGGTGTGCAAACTGACTTATTTATCACTCTGGATTAAATGTGGAGTTTAGGAACTGACAGTCCCTGGTGACTATGAAATGAGTGCTCACGTGGTTATTTTAATGCACAAGTTTGTTGGAAAGTCATTGGTTTTTTTTTTTCCTGAGACTCTCCGTTACCAAAGATTCCCTGAGAATACTACATATGGTGGTGTTGCCTCTAAAATGAGCCACAGGAGGAGAATTTGAGGGCACTGTGGAAGCAGCTTTGGGATGCCAAAGCTGTGGTGGCATCCGGCTTCCCCCAAACAAATCCGTGTTGAGGTGAAAGGCCAAAATACCTGCAGTGTGTCCCTGAGTTAAGTTCGGAGGGCATGAGCACTTCAGATTTTGATATTCAGAGCCTATTTAAAATTGTCCAGTCTGGACTATTCTAGCATGTGAATAACCCACAGCAGCCGACTTCATTTGTACAGTTTTTATTGTTACAAAAGTTTGAGTGTTGGTGACTTTCAGTGGGCTGATTTTATACATGGCATTCTCTTACGGACAACCCAGTAAGTCCTACCTGAGTCCCACTCGCTCCTCCTTTGCATTTTGGGATACCACTCCCAACACACGGGCAGCTTGTGTGAGGGCCAAGTGAACAGACAGAAGGGTGGCAGGCAATTCATACACCCCATGCTCTCAGAACTTCCTGTTAGAAACTCGGTGATCAAAACCACGCGGCCATAACGACAGGACCACATCACTTCCCAGTTAAGGAGCGTTTCACATCTTCCACTCCCTCGTCGTCTCACCACACCCCGGATGTCTGCCTCAGTATTCTCAATCTCGATCTGTACTGTGTATCGATCCATTAATTACAGTTGTGTCCATTTCTTGACGGCCGGCATTGTGCCTTGTATTTCACGAGCATTCACAGCTTAGACAAACCTCACAGAAGTAAATACCACCCAGCTGACGGCCAAGAAGCTAAGAGCTCCCAGGACAAAAGCGTCGACATTTGATGACAGAAGAGCTCTTAGGAAGGACTAGCAAAGTGTGTTCCAGGAAAGGGCATATAAGAGCCCGGGTGTGGTGGTTTGAATGACAAGGCTCCCCATAGGCCCATAGGGAGTGGCCCTGCTAGGAGTGTGTAGAGGGGTTACAGCTCCGATAGAAAGATGTCCTGGTGGTCAGAAACCAAGGAATACCTACAGCTCTTAAGGGAAAGGTATCCTAAGAGAAGTGTTACAGCTCTGTTCCCGTGGAAGACTGTTTCTCCAGCAAAGCGTTACAGTCCTTCCTCTGGCAAAGGTTTCCCTAATGCAAGTGTAACAACTCTGCTCCAGCAGGGGAGGGCTTCCCCAGCCAGGTTGTTACAGTTCTGCTCTTCTCTGCTTTGAGAAATGTTACAGTTCTGCTCCGCTCCCTTTGAGTGTAACAACTCTGCTCCAAGCAAGGGAAAGTTTCTCCAGCCAAAGTGTTACAGTTCTGCTCTGCTAAGGGAAAGTTTCCCAGCTTAAGTGTAGTAGCTCTGCTCCGCGTTAGCAAGAACCGTTGTTACAGCTCTGCTTTCCTCCGGCAAAAGTTGTTACAGCTCTGCTCCGCTCCACTCTGGGAAAAGAAAGTTGTTAGAACAAACCTCATTCAAGAGATTTATTGGGAAGGAGGAATCCAGGAGAGTGGCTACTTCTGCCAGGGTCAAAAAGGCATCTCCAGGGCTGGAGAGATGGCTCAGAGGTTAAGAGCACTGACTGTTCTTCCAGAGGTCCTGAGTTCAATTCCCAGCATCCACATGGTGGCTCATAACCATATGTAATGAGATCTGGCACCCTCTTCTATATACATAATAAACAATTATTAAAAAAAATTTTTTTTTGTTTTTTCGAGACAGGGTTTCTCTGTGTAGCTTTGCACCTTTCCTGGAACTCACTTGGCAGCCCAGGCTGGCCTCGAACTCACAGAGATCCGCCTGCCTCTGCCTCCCGAGTTCTGGGATTAAAGGCGTGCGCCACCACCGCCTGGCTATTTTTAAAAAAATTTTAAAAAAGAAAAGAAAAAGGCATCTCCAAACAACAGGTACAGGGCTCATATAGGCTTTCTTATGGTCCAAGCTTTCCAGAATAAAGATTTTTAGGGTGGAGATTAGTAGGATCTCAAGTCCTGAGCTTGGGACAAGCTCAGAGATTGGTTGAATTTCATGCTCATGGACTGGTTGATTTTCATGCTCTGGGATTGGTTGGATTTCAAGTCCTGAGTTGGTTAGGGGAGGGTGTGTTTCCTTGGCTCTGGTCTCAGGGCCAGGGTGTTCTTTCACTGGCCCTTTGTATCCTACAGAGTGGCCATGTTGGAGGAGCTGTGTCTCTGAAGGTGGGCTTTGAGGTCTCAGATGCTCAAGCCAGGCCCAGTACCGCTCTCTCTACCCACTACCTTCAGATCTGGCTATAGAACTCTCAGCTCCTTCTCCAGCACCATGTTTGCCTGCATACTGCCTTGCTTCCCACCATGTTGACAATGGACTAAACCTCTGACACTAAGCCAGCCTCAATTAAATGTTTTCCTTTATAAGAGCTGCTATGGTCATGGTGTCTCTTCATAGCAATAAAACCCTAAGACTCCAGGAAAAGAGTACACCAGGCCAAAACTATACAATGGAAAAAAGAAAGTATCTTCAACAAATGGTGCTGGCATAACTGGATGTCAATATGTAAAAGATTACAAATAGATCCATTTCTGTCACCATGCACAAAACTCAAGTCCAAGTGGATCAAAGACCTAAACATAAATCCAGTTACACTAAACTTAATAGAAAAGAAAATAGGAAGCACTCTG